TCGTGACAAATCATTGCTACTCACAGCCAAATTATTCTTATAAACGCGGGAGCTTTAACCTAGCCATTTGAAACAAGTTAAGAAAAAATTTTTGTTAAATTCCGCTTTTGCATAAAATCCAATGGGTGAATGAACGAGAGACAGAAAAGAAATCCCCAACTTTCCCAAAATGTTGCTTTCTTGTGTACAACTATTCCTCTTTGAAACCCTTAAGACAGTCTTTAACGGAAATGTGTGGTCAACCAGACTGTCGGGTGCATATAAGAGGGTTTGGAGTAGTCCTGTTCAAGCTTGCTAGTCAAGTGTCTACATAATCGTAAATATGTAAGCAAGATGTATATGGTTTTTTTCAGTCTCAATTGACCAAATTTCATGAATTCAAGACTCAGAGCATTAATGAAAACATTCAAGGGGCTGTCTTAGAAATTGGAGGGACAGGAGAATAGGGATGTCGCAGTGTGACATTTGATTACCAGCGTTCCGTCACATATTTAGGCATTGTGGACGGAGCAATGGAAAAACACACCACCACCACCAGAGTGTGTGACCAAAATAGGGGTAAATACCCCTGTTGTGAATTTATCTATGAATGATAGTGCAAGTGGGCTTAGGAGGCCAAGCCAACCATAGACACGATTTGGGAAAATAGAAGAGGATGCCAGCAAGCTAAATGTGTTGAAATGTTCACGTCCAAATTCATGACAGCCTAAACAGCTAAGAGGTTGGACGTCTGTTCCTATTATTTGTAATAGAGGAGATGGGAAATAGTAAATACTACATTAAAAGCAGCTGTGCTCGAGCTGTAAGTTCAAAGGAGGAGAGAGTAATAACTCACAAGTCAGTCTCCAATTAACACTACATGAATACAGTAAGAAAGTGTACAGTAAAATAATGGTTCTTTTGAACACTTCGCTCATCAGCGCGGTGAGATACCATGGAAAAGGGGTGAGCAGAGCCGTAGATGGTTTTGGTTCGGGTGAAAACACAGTTTAATGAAAAGTTGTATCCTAATCCAAGATGAGACACTTCAATCCCAATGCCCACAGGCTCAGAGTGGGCATTAGGATGAAGCATTTGGCAAAAACTGTTCCCGCCACTTATCCATTCATTCAATGGGTGAAGTGATCACTCTAAGAACTGACCACTGATAAAAGTAAGAGAATCACACATTCTACACAGCAAGAAGTGGACTCTTTATGTGCTTTTATTATTCAGACGTCCGGTTTAGAAATGGAATGTATACTTTAGTAGATCGAAATTCACGAAGGTAGCATAGAGCTCCTCCGTATGCCAACCTTGCCACAAGCTCCCAATCATTAAGTCTGTGTGAGCTGCTCCCAAGTCAAACGGAGACTTTTAATATTGCAGTTACTCAATTGTAAAGATATTAGACGCAACAGTAATAACCAAGTCTATCCTATTACTGCTTACTGATACAAAGAGCTTCAGTCAGCCCAGTCCAGACACCGTTTATATCAAGATAGTGGGTAGGTAACAGCCGTATTGTAGGGATTTGCGTACAACAGGGTGCAGCAAAGAGCTAATTACCTTGTGAGTGAAAGTGTACAACACCACCTTCTAGATATTTACTCCCACTTGAGGATGGCTTTTACGGTGTGACGGGACGCTCAGCTGAAGTCAATCCACAGCAGTTTGAATGTACGTGTCCCAACAATTGCCTTAAGTCTGCTGCTTGTCTATTTGTCAGCGACAATATTAGCAATCCAATCCTCCACAGCCCACAACACCCCAACCCATACAACAAACACGGTCATACCGTGGGACATTCGCTTTATCCTGGATACCTGTTCTAAGCATAATCTCTTGGGCGATGAAGTCGCACGAAGAATGCAAGAATCTCTCCATAGCAATGCCAGAATCAATAGAACACAATGCAATCATTCATAAACAGGACCGTTTACAATTTGGGTAAGTTGAGACACCTCGGCTGTGGACCAGTAGTTCCCCACCTCTATACAGCACAGAGGACTTGGATACAACACTGGATTGAAGGAACTCTTTGAAATGGAAGGTCAGGATTTTGCAGATCACATCGTTGCACTTGGCGAAGCCTGGATGGATCATTTTGACCCACAACCATAAAGGACATCAAAGTAGTAAGCGCATGTGGATACTCCACTGATGACGAAGGTAAACAGTTTTTCCTTAGACGGTTCGGCGGAAATTGGGAAACACGCATTACCACAGAAGGTAACTATGTGAACAAACTGACGCGATTTTGACACCTTAAAATTTATTCCTTCCTCCTCTTGTGAAAGCCGAAAAGCTCCGGATTGATGTGACTGGCCCTTGTAAAGAAGATGAGCCTGAACACGCCTACAGGCCCAACTGAGGTACTGCACTGACGACAGTATGGTGGGAAATGCTCCATATACTCCTTTTCTTGCAGAGAATAATGGCATATTCTTTAATGCGTCTTACTTTTAAATGCCTGAGACTGCGAAAATCCACAGCCAAAAGGCTATTAAGACCTCATAAACTATTCAATTTCTACATCGTGTTCAGCAATGAACGAGCCCATTCCTCCATGAAAGATTGATATGGAAATAATGATGGGTGAGGGAAAATGAAATAACCCGAGGATTTAAGAATGCTCCTAAAGGATGGTTAAGCCCTAGAAAGGAAAGGGCGGATAATGTCAGGTCCAAAATCCACTAGATACGGATCATTTAATCAAGCGGATTTTGCCCTTAGACAAGTCTTCCTATACGAAATCACTGTCTTAAGCAACAGTTTATTTAGTTGACTTTTACAAGTGGTGCCAACATAGAACACAGTAGATGAATCCTGCCGATTTTTTGTCAGGTTAACTGCGCTGCTTCTTGTCAATTTTAATGCTCTATCATCCACATTAACGCCATGTTCAATAGATATAACTAGCATAAATATATGAGCAAAAAGGTAGGATTAAGTAATGACCATTTAGCACAGGATCAGGTGCAAAAAATCCCTCACCATTCATTAAGGACATTGGTTAGTAACAAATTAGTAACTTGTCGGACCAAAACCCACCTCGCTGATTTTCCAACATCATCAACTGGTTGCCATCTTCGGAGGGACCACGACCTGAATCTCCGCTATCCGCATCGTATTGAAGACTGCCGGCCATTCGTATACCCGTGGTCGAGCCTTGAATGCTTGCTAGGATACCGGCCTGTCTGGAATTTCGGGACATCGTCTAGAAAAAGAAAGTAGGAAGACGTTTTATCAATGGATCGAATAAATTCTAGAACTGATGAAAGGTATTCAAGCCGAACAGCGGATGCTCAGACCTTTTAGCAGTGAGACGGTAGTACGTCAATCAGAGCAGACCCCAGCCACGGTGTTCACGTTCCTAACCTACACCCTCCAGCACACCGGTCATTCTACGACCTCGGTAGATAAGACAGTTTCAGCTTTTGAGACAGTTTTCAAGATCTCCCAGGTATTGGAATACTGCCATAAATTGAGTTAACGCTGCACCAAGTAGTGACAAAAAGCACCTGATGGAGATAAAATTATCGCTCTGAACAGAGGTAACCTGAAGCCTTGCATACTTTAACGAACTGTTCTCTCTCCTCCCAGACCGCTAACAAAAGGGGCACACAAGGGGGGAAGTATGGAGGCATTACAAATAGATGGTCAAGTTTGGGCGCTTTGTAATGTAGTGTTATCTTAACCCTTTTCACACACCCTTCCATAAGTATGTGCGCGTTTGGTTTTAACAGATTCTTGTCGCACCCGGGTGGCAGTAGTGGTTTTTGTTTGGCATGGGGGTTCACAAAAGCGAGGCGCCGCAATGGTAATCATAAGATTTGCCAGTACCATTTTTTTTTCTGCACGGGCCGACAAAAAGTAGAAACTGCGTTTTATGCAAATCTTGGAGACGCGTACGCAACTCTCCTCTCTGATGCTTTTATGGGTGTTGTTCAGTTCGTCCATTGCATCGGATTTTGGTTCAGGCCTCCATGCGGAATCCGGCTTTAAGCTGAAAGCAGTGACGTTTTCAGCTGGTTGCTCTTTTACAATTGCTAAGGATGTGCTCAATGGTTAAACGATTTCCAAAGTCGTATATTTCCCTTCTGAGCGATGAAGACAGGAGACCATCTTCTAAGTGTTTCATGACAGCTGCTTGGTAGGCCGGCTGCCCTTGTAGATTAGATAAGGAGTTTTTATTCTGGAATGAGGATGGCTGCGAATTTTATACGATAATGACGACATTGTTCTTTCATCCTCTGCGAACAATAGACTTGCGCCAGCAGTATGAATTCATCCTCTCATGGAGTCAATTTTGCTGATAAACGTGTTGACGATGTCAGAAATGGGGGAACAAATGTGATGATTACAAAGCGCTTTGGGCGTCCAGCCGACTGGGGATCGCAATTGCGGCCATGAAGGATGAAAGGAGAAGAGTCCGGGATAAGAGAAAGCAGAATATAAAAGTTTGATAGGCCTGCCTACTATGTCCTACTGTGGCTTCATTCAGCATTGTGGTTCTAGTTCATTTTTGATTGAGATTATAAACGTCAACCAGAACGTTAAATTGCTGTTGGTTCAACTGAAAATAACAAATCAGAAGAACTAGAAACATTCAAATCCTTAATCCCCAATCCCTAATGGGTTAGACTTGTGGCCTAGTCATTGTGTTTTGAACGCAACTAGGCTTCGTAACTCAACATCTGTGATGAAACTCCATTTAAGACACTATTTTTTATTGTATGCTAGAGAACCGTTATGAAAAGAATGGCGATTTAGCTATTCCAAATCAAAGAAGTAGCATATTTTCTAACTACATTGACACCCTTGAATTTAAAATAATCAACGCGTTTTTGAAATTGTGAAATTTGGAAAAAAAATAACTAGCTTAAAAATAAAATCGGGCGTATTTTCCTTCTACAAAGTCGTGAGTGTGAGGCCAGAAGGGATAAGAATAGTGACGCATGCCCAAGGGCTCAGGAATGAGACATAGAACAAATTGCAAGGGAAGGAAATGGAAAGGGAGAGGCACCCACCACGTTCTTCCTGCTCCTCGTTGCTAGGGCACCTGTTGCCAGGTCAGTGCCTGAAGGTATGACTAACACAGCCCCTCCCCTCCCCTCGAACACTAATTGCAGCAACACATGTGGAGGATGTTTTAATTGCCCTTCGTCTCTTTCAGTGCACACACATTTATTTAAAACTTTTTGACCATGCATTGTGCTTCAGCTTTTATTATTGAACAACTTTTGTGTCTTATTTGGATACCAAGCAGAGGAATTTCAAAGAAATGAGAGATGCAGAAAGCATTTCATTGTGAAAATACAGAAATTTTGAAATCTATCAAGAGACGACATTTTGCTCTACAGTAAAGCTAGAAATCAGCTGTTACTTCCTAGCTATAGTAGGCAATAGTTAGTTTGTGGCCCTGGTTCCCGTCCGTGATAAAGCTTTAGAAACTCTAAACTCGACCCAAAATGAAAGCTAAATTCATTCACGATTGAAATATAACTAATTGCAGATTAAAAATAGGACTGAAAAAAGATCTTGCACACGTGAGAGGGGGCTTTCAGAGCAAGTCAAGACTTCCTATTTTACAGTTACCAAAGGATAAAGTGCCATCCCACCTTGGAGGCACTACACGTGGCAGTAAGCTACTAGGCTGCAATTTCATTAATACTGCTAGTCAACACACGTACTGCGTGGACCAGACCAAATCAGACATCATTTATCACACCGGCAGGTAGATGCGTGCACTCGTGGTGGTGAAGCAAACCTTCCGCCAAAGTGGACGTACAACCTAAACCTATGAATATCTACTTGTAGCAAAGACATGAGGCAAGTCAAGTACGATGGTGGGATGTTAAGCCACAGTAGGTCATGTGAATGATGCGAGTTACAGACTCCGCAACCCCCGTGGTCAGTCCTGCGAGCAAACATCCACCAGATAGAGCGCTCAAAGCTAAATAATCAATGCAACGCGTTATAGAAGAATTGGACAAAAGAGACCAATCTTTCTGTGGCAACGCTGAACACAACGCAATCGTTTACAAACATGAACAACTCAGGAAAGTTAGCGCACACTATCCTATGATGGTTCGGCCAACTGACAAATCTACCCATGAGTAAAAAATCCGAACAAATGTATCAAATGTAGTTTCGACTTCGGGGAGACTGAACATACCTATATCTGAAAACAATAATTATTTGTGTAATATAGATGGTGTCAAGACCATCGAGGCATTACCCAGTGAGACTGTTTGAAAGTTGAAAGTCCCTATTTTACTCACCCCAAATGTATGCAAGGGAAGAGTGCCACTAATAATATCCTCATTAGGCTCTAAGAGTGTATACATCGAGTCCTGCGGTGGGACGCCGCAGAAGATGCTGGTTTTATCCGATCCAAGAAGTGGGGACCCATAGGACCGCCCATTTTCATCGACCGGTAGACCTCCAGGCAGAGGAGGGTAGAAGTCTTTCGAGAGTCCGGTCCAGGTATTTGTAGTCAGAGCCTCTTTACTTGGATCGGTGGTGAGGAAAGGGCTTCCGGGGGAGTAAGCGACAACTCGTCCCTCTGGCTCCACCGCTGTTCCATTGCCAACCACTGCTCGACCAGGTTTGCGTCGAACGCAAACGATAGCGATGATAAGAAGGAGAGAGATGATAGCTGTGACAGCGATCATGACAAGAATGATGGTCACATTGAGAGCTCCAGTCCGACCGCCGCCCAAAAAGCCGCCAAACTCGTTGGGATCCATCTTCACATTTATGGCCATCCAAGTGTCGGTGAAGAGGCGCTGAGCGTGACCGCAATCAATTGCACGAAGACGAATCTTGAGGTTCAGAGGGACTAGACGGTCAGCAACGAGGATTTCGCCTGTGGAACCGTTCAGATAGAAAGGTCCAGTTCGATAACCCATCAGTTCCTCTTGAACAACTGTGGAGGTCAGCCGGGGTGATTGAGCGGGAGCGTTGTAAAGACCGCGGGAAATGGAAACTGGGGGCATTGGTTGACCATTCAAATCCAGCACTTGAAATTCAACCTTTCCTGCATCGTCTGCGTCCACATCAAAGGCCTGTGGAAGTGAAAACGAGACACATAAAACTCTGCTGCATAATTTCAACGTCGAAGATCCAATAGGATTGAAAGTCGTTAATTCAATCAAGAGATCTATGGCTGAATAAGTTGAGCAGAAAACGTGAGAAAAAAATGAACATGTACGTCGCCAATGGCATGTGTGCTGTCTGTTTATGATAACTATGACGGCGTCAAAATCATATTGCGAAAGGATTGAATGAGTTTAAACCAATAAAAAGAACGTTAAATGTTACTGGTCTGCGGACAATTACTTTCTTTATAGTTTTTGAGCAGCAGTTTAGTTGGTCAAAAATTAACGGCTTTTGATGTCATAACAAAACAGTAAGATACAGGCTGTGGCGGTCGCTTTTGTAATGAGACCCTGACAATGCGTGTGTTAATCCTACAGTTCATTCCAGTCTAGCCTATAAAATGGACGGTCTGATACATTTATGTCTTTCCAGTCAAGAACCATTGGGAGGCACCAGTTCCTCGATAACCTAAGTGTTATGAAATACTTCAGTTCGTCTCACTTTAACTGTTCAACTTTTGGCACTGCGCAGACCCATTACTACCTCTACTTCGACACAAAATTGTGTTAAAAGATAATCTCCTTGCACACCTGCTACTTATCCAATGGTCATTTTGGGTTTTAGAAGGCTTCGCTTAAGCTGTTCCACGGTTTCAATAATGTGAAAGTGCGCGTTATTTTGCCCTATTTTGCCTCCTTAATTATCCGCTTTTGAAACAGCTCAAAGAGCTGTGATATTTCGTAGCTATGGTTCAACCACTACGGATCCGAGAATGGTAAATGAAGGAATTTTAGATGGGCGAGTAAATGGACATGAGAAAGCTTGATGGATGGGTCCAGAATGGGTACACTGAGCCATTCGAAACAAATAAGCCCAAGTTAAATAGATGGATATGAATGAAACAAAAGTACAGTCTAACCACCTTCTCAAGTATGTTACTGCTTCGGAGAATCATCTGCCCAAAGGATGATTAGGGATCACAAAACCTCGCTCATAATTATGATTAACGTTATTATCCAATGCTTCACGAGTGTTCAACTTCACACTTTTTGGGTGGAATAACAATAACGAACCTGGAGCCTAGCGACCAGAGAACCAGGCGGACTTGCAGTGGTGATATTGATCTGGCGTGCGGACTCAGTAGGAAATGTCCACTCTGGTGCATTGTCATTTTCGTCCAGAATGCGGACAAGGAGGGACGTAGACGTGGCCAATGGTTGACTTCCATTGTCCCGCACGGCTACATTTAACAGGTACATGGCCACGAGCTCCCTGTCGAATTCAACCAGCGTTTCGATGTCACCATCGGGAGTGATTTGGAAGATGCGTTGTTCCACCAGCTGACGACCTGGTGAAGTACCACTAAGATCGTCAAAGATGTTTCCACTGCTATGGCCAGCGCTACCAGCGACACTTTTCAAAGCCCAGACGGAGCGAAGAGAAAACTGAAGTTGGCCGTTCTGGTCCTGAAAGAGAGGACAAAAATCAAGGTAGTTTTTTCAGTGGATAGATTCTTGCAAGTCAAACTGGAATTTTGCATTTTAACGACGAAGGTATGAAAAGTTATGGTGCTGTGATGCAACTACACGAAGCAGTAATTGAATAGTACCGCGTGTACAAATACCGTAGGCCAATACAGCCTGCATACGATTAATCTTGATGTCAGGCACAGTGGTGATAAGTTTGTTATGAGGAAAAACACGAAATCCTCGAATATCAACTCATACAGAAAACTCTGGACGCACTATCTGTCTATCAGCGGTGATCCGGCTGCGTTGGTTTCATTCCCAACCCATGGCCCACAGTACCGCCTGTGAACATGAGGCTAGTGAGTGGGACGCCTGGCCCCCTTTGATCTACACATGACGTAAAATAAATGTACAAAAGATGAACGAACTTTTCTGTGGCAACGTTGAATAAGACAAAAATATTAACCAACGCGAAAATTTGTAATTAAGCAAAGTCAGCGCAGCTGGAGTACCAAGAGAGGTGATGTCGTGGGACAACTCAGCCCTAATGAGGAATTTATCCATAGTGAAGCCAGCTCATTGTTGGATGATATCAAAGTATAAGTGTGGTGTGGACTTCTTGAAGCATTCCTATTTTACTAGACTTAATGGTTCCAGTTTTGGATTTTTCTCGGAATTGGAACTAGTGAGGAAGTAAAAAAAACAACCCCAAAGAGTAAAAATTAGATCGGATTTCGGAGAAAAGGTAACAGGGTGGAAAGAGGTAGGAGCTCTACGGCTTATACACTGACGAACGCGAAACAAAAGCAGTAGTACACGACGTGCTTTTCAGACGGTTGTCCATGTGGTGAACGTCTGAACAGACAGACAGACAGAGGGAGAGGGGAGGGCGAATATGTGTACCAACTTTCGTTCACAATATGCACCAAGCAGCACGGATTAGGGTGTCCTAAATCTAGTAGACGTAGGTTGACCCTTTTCACCGCTACAACCCTACGAACACCAGCTCAACAAACAGTTCTGGCACACTGTGATCAAAAATTACCCCAAATAGGGTACGGAACTTGATTTTTTACACCGACAAGCAGCGAACCAGTCGATTTAGCTGTGACCAAAGTGTTCAGTAAAGAGAAAAGTTAGCATTCAGAAAAAGGATACTTCAGGATTCACTTATCGACTTTGCCGTGATCAAAAAACAATATGCATTTGTTGACATTTATAACACAAATTCTACCACTCCTTCAATCGAAAGTACCAGAAATAAAGTAGGCTAGACGCGGAGACTGAATGGTAACCCTGATCAAATTTGCCGCCCGTTGTTATGGTCCACTTTTACTGTTCCTATGGCCAACAAATAAGGAAAAGAAGGAAGGAATAAGCGTGGACGACATTTTATGAATTGAGTAGTGTGTAGAGGAATGATTGTTTGATGTCTGCTGGCGTAAAAATTGTTTCTGAGATAAAAAGTACTATAGATCCATTATTTATAAACTGGGGTTGGGTACTTTCATAAAAGATATCACATTTATGTGACGCCCACACATATAAGACACATTTGATCAGGGAATTGAACTGAAAGGCAAAAACGGGCCAAAAACAACTGATGTCATAATAGAGAACAATAAAACGCCTGGGTTGTGATGGTCCATTTTCCTCTGATGCGTCGATAGTAAACACGTTAACTGACTAGTCTGTCATTTTTCTCGTAATCGAAAGGCCTCGCAAATCATTCAACGACGAGCGTTATTTGGGTACTACCTGTTCAGCGTGGTTCCAGAAAACCAGGATTTGTGATTCCCTTACATTGACAGAATCAAAAATTGTCTGTGATGGCATGTGAAATAACCAATATTACCACTTTGCAATCAGATGCTATCAGCCACCTGTCCTTTCCGTATTTAAACATCTCGAGGATGATGGAGTAATTCACAAACTCTTTCATAAAGCATTCAATAAATCTAGCGGATTAAAGTATTCCAGGCAGTGATTTTCAAACAAAAATTGTTCCACTTCACAAGATTGCTAAAACAGGAAAGGCTCGGTAGCCAAGTGCCAAATTCAAGCATTACTACTGGCAAACAGACCAATCTTTGCAGTTTTTGATCAGGAAGGAAAGGGCAGGGCGAGAAGCTGTCAAAATAGTTTCCCTGTAGACCACTCAGAAAGGGCAACTTGATGAGAACTAGAGGCACACAATAGGACGAGCATAGGTGATTGCTAGTTGGATGCAAATGAAGTAACCAATGGTTGTCGATAAATAAAAATTATTCCCCTTGCTTGTCCACTCTTCTACCAGAAAGAAAAACAAAAGTTTCCGTTTGCTCTTACTGGTGATAAAAGTATGGCTTATGCAATCATTAAGTGACAGTGATTGACTTCAGTGGACCAGCAGTGGACCTCTGATGAATTCCTGGGAAATACACTTAATTATTGGCAGCGCACGAAATAAACTGGGTAACTTTTACTCCTTGTGGAAGGTATCGTATCCTTCTTTCATGCTTTAAGGAAAGTTTCTGCCTAAATAGGTTAATTGGTTATTGGAGAAGAAAAGTAACTTGTATAGATGGCTGAATTTGTGGAGCCTTACAACTCAAAGGCCTTAAAGCGCGCCATGTCTTGACAAAAAATCAAGTATTAAGTTTTGTGCCATGGAAACAATGCGGGACAAGAATCGAACAAGCGTTCTTGAATTGTTGCTATGCCTCTCGGCAATGACTTACTGTTACCTGTACAGATCTGTGAAACTCATGCAATTGCTTAAATGCATCCACCACAAAGTATAGTCAGATGTCATTCTATTGTTGCCATACTGTTTGTTGTACCCCCAACTATTTTTCTGTCACGTTGAACCCTCCTAGCATTGTGTTGATCAAACAAACCTGGTGGATGTGATTCGAGCTTGTCTGCCTTTAAAAGCTAACTTTGACTGTTCCATGGCATTTGGAGAAGGCGTAGCGTGCAGTGGTGGAACGACAGCAATATCCAGAAATAGTTTAAATAAAAAATATGCTTCCAGTGGTGATTCACTAAACCTACGAGCCGCATCTCCTGAGGGCGGGGAAATCGGGGGTGACGCAGCAAAAACAAGGCATAGTAACGTCTAGTGTGAGTGACAAGGAAACAATGCATTTACACCAATATCAACTGGAATAGCAAAGTGCTGGTTCCACATTTCATGCATTAATAACGAATACCAGTAGAATACAAAGACTATCGTTTCGTAAGTCTAAATCTTCAACCGATCGATTCGTGGCAATAAATGTTCGTTAAGTGGAAGAATGAAACACTAGCTACTCCACCCTTCTAAAACACCCACTACAACCATAGGGGACTATGTGTTTTTGTACGTTTGTGTAGTGGAGCATGGACAGTTGCTGGCTAGGAGTTGGCCACCCGCTGAAGGCCTAATAATTACAATTGGGACCCGCTAGATGTAAAGCAACTAGAGGGAAGGAAAACTCTTTCAAAAACCGGGGTAGAAACAGAGCTAGGTAGCTAAATCAATAAAGGTGGAGAAATCAGCTCTAGTTTGAGGGATCGGTTCTGAAACGTGGGTCAAACAAGGTATCATAAGGCAGGAGAAAGATATGGAGCAGGGAATAACTCACAGCATCAGGATCACGAGCTTCAAGACGTCCACTGAGATGCGAATAACGTGGTGCATTCTCTCTTATTGTGAAGGTGTGAGACTTTAAGTCATTCTGGTCAAATGGGAGGCCTATATTTGCCGGTGGATTGACAAACACTGGGCTGTTGTCGTTCTCATCCAGAACCTCAATGGAGACAGTTGCGGTGGCTGTGAAGATGGGTTCTGTGAGTGCGTCAGTCACTGTCACAACCAGTGTGATCCTCTCAATCACCTCCCGATCCAGTTGCACCTGGAGGAGGATGGAGATACAAAAAATGTTTATAACAAATGGAAAGTATGGAATTATGAAAAGGGAATAGGCTTTAAAACCTTAACCAATATATGGAAATCTTCGCCAATTGAGAGATTTGAGAGTTCAATGGAACACCACAAAATCACTAGAATGGTCTATCGAATGGTCACGAATGTAATCATCGTTCCAACGGAATGATTCAAGTCAGGCAATTTCATGACGAAAGGTTGAATTATTCAAGTATCCCACACGCTATCCAAATATTCACAAGCATAACTACTGCGATGCCGGGTGTAAGCTTACTTATGTATAGACGAACGGTCATTTTTGAAATGTCTAACAGTCACCGTGTTTCCATGAGGGTAGATATCAGTGGATTCGGGTTTTATGGCTCCATTGACACACAACTCCTACCTTCACCACACGCCGTTGCGTGCACGCATTAGCTCTGCCACCGTTGCTTGCTTGTTATCTTGATTAACAGTGTGCAGACTGGACCGACCCACAATATGTGCCCCAGCTACTAGTACTTGCTCTTTCCTACATGAAAAACTAAAGTTCTTGTTCTACTCAAGCAGCCCTCCTGTACACTAAGATATGCAAACAAAACCTTGGGACTTTTTCCCCAACCCAAATAGTGGTTTTAGCATCCCTCCCATCTCCCTATTAATCAAAGTTTTACAGTGCTTCCTTCTCTCTCTTACACATCCCCTCCTTTGTTCTAATTAAAAGGTGGGAAAGGTGTGCTTTTTTACGAGAGGAGGGGGAGAGAAATATTTACTTTTCTAAAAGCCAGAAACGGTCTTAATGATCACTTTCGAATTGACATGGGTACTTTAATGAAATCACACCGGTCCTTTAGGTTGGGGAATGATGCGCAAATGCTTTAATACCATGTAAAAATGGGCAAACATAAAGATGATGATGTGTGTCTTCACTCAAAAACGTGTGATTGCTCACTTACGACAGATGACAGGTACATGTGGCATTTGGTGGAAGGCAGTCTGGAAGAAACCCCAACCTATTTGAGTAGTCACTCACCCTCACCTGCAGTCCTCAATCACCCAAAATCGCAGATAGTCGGGTGCAGGTGCTGAATCGACTAGAACGGAATCCAAACATTATGTCCGAGGCAGTCGTTAAAGAATATCTATATCTTACCAATTTGCGTCATGGCACTGCTTAGTTTAACTCTGGGCACAAAGACAATTCCCGAGTCCATGCCGCTCTTCAATCCGAACAGCCAAATTCACGGAGACAGTCTGTCGACACCCAGCCGAAGTCTCCACGACCGGCAAACTAATGCCAAGAACAAAGGAGCTCCTCCGTTTTCCCTCCTGGTATTACGTTGCCTAGCACTTTGTCAAGCACTACTCCACAGACATCGAAGGTACCGTCAGTGTAACACTTACTCAAAAAGATGGGTACTGTCCATCTCACCCATCCAGCTCCAATGAAGGCAACGACAAGCGAAAATGTCCAAAAAAGCTTGTAAACCACTAATTGCGATGAAAGTCTTACAGGTGAATGCAATCCATTGTTGAAGGTCTATTACCTTCCTGCTCAACGGTGGTCATGTACAGTGCAACCACAGCTGTACACCGACTCCGACATTACTATAGTATCGGTAAAAGTTTGATATCATTTTGATAAACTACCGGTTCAACAGGCAGTTTAAACTACCATTTGTACAGGTGGTGGCGAAATGAAGCGCCTAGGGTAACTTTAGTGCTCGGCATCTTTTCTGTAGCAAGGTCCTATAACAAGAAGACCAATCTCAACCCATTTGATCTCGACTGATTCGACAAACCGAGTCTGGAGAAACTATCAGTCAAATCCATCTACGATGAGATGCATTTTATCACGATACACCCCAAACGGTTGGGGGCGATTGTTAGAAAGTTTACCCCAGTAATCCACCTTATTCATGTTGATAGGAGTTGCCCGAGGATCATTACGGAAGTTTAATAAAAGGTAAAGAAATCTCCAAAAACCCCATTAGTACCTTGGCTCCAGCCAGAAAAGCCTTAATCACTACTCTGCTGCGACTTTGTCAGCCTAATCGATGGTGTTTCATGCCTCGTTCTGGTAAATGCTTATTCAAAGAGGCCGGAGATAGCACCTGTGGCCCCTCCTACGGCCATCAAGACGCTATAAGTGCTGCCTCACATCTTCAGTCAACGCGGGCTCCCATAAACGTTGGTCCAAGTCAACAGAACGAAATTCACTTCGCAAGATTTCAATGACTTTTGCTGTCAACGCGGTATTAAGAATATTCGTTCTCCGCTGTTTCACCCACAATCCAACAAACAAATAGGGGAATTCGTTGACATATTCGGACTAGCACTACTGAAGTCACTAGGATAGGGGCGACTGCCTATAGCATACAAAGGTTTCTATGGCGTCTCGGACAAAACCGACTTAATTCGTACGAAACCACCAATCACCAGCCGAAACATTAATGGGCGGAAAGCTTTGCTCGGTCAAAGTAGCAATGGTTCCAAGACTACACGATGGTTCAAGGGAAGTAGACTGGAATTCTCAGCAAGACGCACGACTGCCAGTGCCGTCAACGCCAGCGATTATCGGCCTGGACATAACTGATGAACAGTTGAGAATATCGTTTGCAGTTACAGGAAAGCTGTATTTTACATCAAGGTAGAAAAAGAAACCTGGAGATATTACAACCAACCACTCCTGCGATACGTCAAGGAACCACCAACTCAAGACGCATGTTTCTTATTACCTTTGGCATAAATTTAATAAATACCGTCGGTTTCTTACACATACCGGATCAAAATAAGTGGTTTTAAAAAATTCCTTCAAATTCGGCATCGGAAAGGCACCTACTCAATAGAAAGCGCGGTCTCAAATATTATTTTGAAACCACAATCTCATTGGAAGAAAACCTGGAGTTAGTGGTCACCTCGAGTATGAGTTCCGAAGTGGAACAAGCCAATTCAGCAAGGAAGAGTTTGGGACAACAGTAAAAGATTTGCTTCAGAAGTGGCTATTCAACTCGCAGCATAAGAGTTCTGCCTTGACAGGCGGTCTTGATAGCGACAATGCTACCACTATTTTAAGGGTCGGACAATAAGTTGGATAGCAAATGAGTAGTTGGCACTTGTTTAACTACGTCAGCCCTTTCAGCTTCTCTCTTGAATAAACTCAACGACGGTGGTATAGGGCTATGAATTATCACCAGCTTTTCAGTTGTCTTGGAGGTGAGAGAAATGTGCTGCTGACCAGACCAGTATCTGCATCACGTCAATCATTTAAATTCGTGCCCTTTGAGTAGAGGAGGAGTGGGGAAAAACATCCACAAATTCAGAATACTGTAGCTAAGCAATGATAAACAGCCGGCTGCATAGAGGCTGTAGGAGATAATGAAAGTAAGAGAAAGCTCTCACCACGGATGCACCACATACGTGCATATGATGCAAGACATTATGCAGGGATTTGCAGGCCCAAAACTACCGTATGAATCACATGTGGGTATCACTAAGTGAAAGAGGTTGGGAGGGATAGAAGCAGTTGTTTGCACCCCATTTAGCGCAAAAGCGGCCACCAGTGGTTATGCACCCATCTTTTCCTTCTCCTTCTCCTCCGCCTCTTTCTTCCTCCTTTTCTTCTGAATACATTCTACTTCGTGCGAGAAAGAGAAAAAGTTGAAAAGAAAGGCGAAAACCTTATTTGCTCCAACTATTCTTCTCTGTGACTGCGAGTGAATTTGTGCAAAAAGTGAAAGTTGGTTGTGGGAAATCCCATCCCACACCATACCCTACTACTGCCTCTCGCTTAATTGTGCTTTCTGCTCAAATAGGTATCTTGAAATAAAACTTGGTTGATTCAAGCATAATCGCTTTATCAATCATTGCATTACTTCGGGTAAAGTTTATCAACACATTTGAGAGTAAACGTCTTAAGAAGTAAAACCCTTGACCACTTTCAATGGTTCGGAAATGCACAGTACCCTCTTTGTGTGATTAATTTTGCCACCTTTCTGATACAAATCTATTCCAACGCTAGGCAAATGAACAAAGTACAGTCATTCAATGAATTCATGGGGATAAGTTTCTTGTACAAAATCCCCACGTTTTTGGAACAGGCTTTTAATGGGGAAAAAACCAGAGAACTATTCAAAAGTAGGTGATCTGAGTGTCTTAGAGAATCGAGAAATGAAACCTGTGCGAGTTCTTCACATTTCTCTTACGTTCAATGTCCTGAACTTCCAGTTTCTGAAGGCAACTTTTATGCTGTAAGCTCAAAATGTCAAATCACTAAAACAGTGTGTCAATGGTAACGCAGCTGTCACAGTTTTTCTTTTCTCTAACGAAGAATGTTTTATTCTCAGGGTTACCGCGGGTTTAAATCAAACCTATGCGACGATCAGAGGAAAATTAGCGTACAGTTGTCGTAAACGCTGCTGCAATGAAAACTTGGTGAATGACTTGAGGGAAAATCCACTGCTGGAATCTCTAGTAAATGAATGCGCCCAAATTTCTTCCCCCTCCCAGAAACTGATCTAATTTAAACAGTAAAAGAGAATTAGTTTGAGCAAGTAGTTCAAGACTAACACCTTGGCGATCAAAAGAACAAAAAATCGGCGAGATTGGATTAATTTGAACGGCCAAATTTCAACGCTTTTTGATAATGCAGTGCTGCGAAGTGAACGTGTGATGGAGAGGTAGAGCTTATCACGATAGTTGCGGCTTTAGCTCTTCATTTAATGACTGCGTACGCACAAACGAGTTTGCCAACTTTACGACCGGTCGGATGATAAGGCAAACCCGACAGTGGGAGAGACAAAATTGATTAATAAATTCACCCCACCCCACCATGTCAAGTCCACTTTTAGTCAGTTCTCAGCTAAAGAAGGTTTCACATTAAATTTCCAAACAAAATGAGGCCCTGAGTTACCCCTCGAAGATGTCCACGGATTGAGGTAGAGTACTTCACTATACAGGTGCACGATTCCATACCTCTTAAATAATTAACACGCAAAGTACCAGCATCATACACGTGCTGTGTGTTCATCAGTTTATGAGATCTGCTTGCACTAACTGGTGTTTGTAACTGGGTCGGTTGAACCCACAACAACATAGTCGATGTAGGATGCTCCCGGTTTGAGGGCAATGATAATCTAGTTAGTTTAGGAGCTGCAAACCTCCAGGTGGTACAAACATCTAGGATACGGTAGGCGATTTCCCCCTGTGACTCCAGATGCAAACTGGTTAAGGTCAAAAATAGATTAAACAACTTCGGTATCATGGCCGATAGTAAAATGTGGCCGGGTTTATGAAGACTTCGATTACGAGTAAAAAGATTCTCAGTCAGAATACTTGAGGACTACGAAAAAGTGGTTTCCGACTGTACCAACTAGCAATTACAGAAACTAAATCAAAGTTCATGTTTTGGGTAAAAGTAGGAGACAACAAGAGATAACAACACAAAACACCCGAAAAGTGGGAATTCTTTGGGATATATAAAAAGGCACTATTTCCAGATTTTCACCATTAAGCACGCAGGAGAGTAGGTTGGTTATTCGTCGGTAAAAAGGATCAAAAAGAACCAGCGAGAATGTAACCGTTTGAATAGAAAAGCGTTTTAAATCCTTTTGGGAAGGTTCATTTTTGATCGACAGTAATAACTGAAATCGTTACAGTTTGCCGTTGAATCAATTTAAGAAGATAGGAAATTGGAGTAGCCAATTTAGATCTAAATTCCTGCATTTATGCAAAAGACAGCGGTTAGCAACTACTTTTAAACTATATTTAAGTGAATAAATAGAAGGGTTGGAATCCAACATTTTGCACAAAATACTCTACAAGTCTCAGATTACCAAAGCAGTTGGTGTGGTTTTCTGTTTCTTAAAATTTATGCGATTTTAACATGCATATTGCCCACTACTTTCCTGTCACCTCGAACCCAGCAATCAAACAAACGTGGTGGATGCGATTTGAGCCTGTCTGTTTTATAAGCTCAGGTTAATTCGGTTCCAGAGATCAGGAAACTTGGCCCTCATGAAACCCGTTACATGGCATCTGGAGAAGGCGCAGAGTGGAAAGACGCCACCGTCCAGAAATGATTTAAATAAAAAATGCACCTCTGGTGGTGATTCATTCAGCCATAGAAGCCGCATCTCCATTACTAAGCGAGGAGGAATGTAAAACTGCACATTGTTATTCACACTTGTAATAAATTGAGAGTGACGCGACAAAAACAAGGCACAGTAATGTCTAATGCGTGACAAGGAAACAATGCATTTACACCAATATCGACTGGAATAGCAAAGTGCTGGTTCCACATACCATGCATCGATAACGACCGTCAGTAGGCCTTAAAGACTATCCCTGAGTAGATCTAGACCTTCACTTCTTTCACGCATGCCATGAGAATACGCTGCCCTTAGATTGTTGGCTGACCGACGGACTGATTTTGCGACGAGAAATGTCCTTTGTATCTTAACTTTCGTTAAGCAAATAAATATACCAGCAGCTATTTCTACCGCTTACTCTACACTTATAGAGTACACACCACCTGCTCTCTGGAAGACTACTGCTTTGTGTGCTCGTTTACTTTCTGGACTGCAAACATAGCTGCTTACTAGGAATTGTTCACCTTCTGAAGGCCTTTGAATTACCATTGAGGTCTACTAGATGCAAAATAACTCGGTGTACAGGAAAACTTATTTAAAAACGACCAGAATTGGTTAATGAGTTAGGTCATGTTTTGTGAGAAATTGAGGGACCCCGTGCCACACTTTAAGATGGGAGGGAGAGATGGAGGTACTGCTTCGTCCTCGTCGTCTATATTCCCCTTCTGCTATTTCTCGAAGCCCCAAGTGAAGACTACCACCTTAGCAATGGATAATCACGCCACCACATCCGAAATAGAGTGGACGGTTAGGGAGTAAACGTGAGATGGAAACAGAGGTGGCTGGGACAGGAAGTTTTGCTTCTAGAGGAAAAGCCTTTTCAAAAGGTGGATTTGCACGCGTGCGTCTCCTAGATGGAAATATTTTAAGAAGCTTTCTGCCTTAATTTATAATTTACTTGGTTGCCTTATATTTCAACCGTACTCACCAGTGAAAGATATCTTCTTCGTCATGGTAAATCGAGATGGATTATCCTCTATCACATTTCTCGACCGAAACGTTCAAAAAGTGGAATTTTCCGCATGACCTCGTAAACTGGAATGTGGCTATTGCCGTTAGCAATTACTTTGCGAAGAAGAAGGGTGAAGAAATGGTGAACTTCACTGTGATTTTGTGCATGACTGCCCGTTAAAGTTCCACATACTTAATTCCTGATTAACAAATAAATTAAATCGTACCTTCTACTGGAAGTGGAAAAAAGTGTTTAAGTTTTTCAACTTGCTTTTGATCGGGGGCGGGGGGGGGGCAAATACGATGAAAGGCATGGCAACATGTGTATCGAATCAGCAGAGGGTTTAAATTTCCATGGCTAGTAGTAATCAAGACGACCATAACTTAGAATTCAACCATCTCTTTTGAAAAATGGAAGACCTTGCCTATCGATTTGAAGGTGAACATATGGATAAGATGGCAAAGACCACTCAAAACCACATCCCCTGATCTAGGTTGTGAAAGGGGTAACACAAAAGCTAGAAAATGGGATTACCCACGTGATATCAGTTTCTTGAACGAAAAACTATCTATCGCAGTTGCCAGTATTCAAAAAGTGCTTACCCTTCAGACCTAAAACGCCTCTTTCCTCCTATGCTACGTTGGAATAACGTAAAAAAGCCACGATAAAATTATTGAGATTTGCGGTTTACTTATAACATAGACGTATTCCAAACGTGCTAAAAATGCAGAAGGTTGAAAGATCATGACATCTTAAAGGCACAAGTCAGAGTCGGAATCGAATTACCGATTTCTGCGAACCTTTAAATGTGAATTAACAGTGGGGAGGAACTTGAATCCGACAAACCCTTTGGAAAAAATCAGCAACAGTTCCATCTTCTCTGAAGGAAATCAACACCAACAAAGTAGCACATTTCCCATCTGTTTCAGAGGTGCATTTTAAGTCTTTCTACGCTAAAGAGGTCGAGAGGAGACAGAATCATTTTGTCCACATTCAACAATAGAATGAGTGAGGGAAGAGGAAGAGAGGGATAGTGAGGCAGCGCATACAGCCTTTGTGGGAGAAGAAACTCGCATCTACTAATCATCACTTTGAATCTAGAAGAAATAAAAGTAATTTTCATCCCCCGGGTTTTCGGGGTGAATTCCATAGTTAGAACACGTATAGTTGACCTTATAAACTCAGCTACTGGCGGGGCCATAACGTCCACGTGCCTAGTCTGGGAAGGCCAACAACAATTACAGAAACAGAGACGTGACCAATGGCTGAACAGGTCTCACAGCGGAGGAATTACACCCAGATAAAAAAGGCAGACTGCTTGAAAGCGATTGCAGTTTTAAAACTTTTATAACACGCTTACCATTAGGATTATAGAGGGAGTCAACCGCTACAATCCAGGTGTCTTACTGTTTTTATTACTATACCTGTTACTTTCATGTTTTAACTAAGTCAACTATCGCCAAAATACTCGACAAAAACGCAGTTTTTATCTGACCGAGGACATCTCATACCTACTTTAGTGTTTTAAACTTATCCAATCTGTTTGCAACAAGACACCTTATGAGCAATCATCGCATGCTAATGAAGAATGAATGTCGCATACTAGTGAGGCCCGACCCAGTCATGAACGCACCAATTCAGTACCGAAATATTAGCGAAATTTAGCCTTTCTAAACTTGGAAAAAAACTACTCAACAACAAGCAGTTTTGATTACCCCTGGCATTTGTAGTGCATAAAGAAATGGGAAACAGACGCATACACAAACGCACCCTACTGGTCCGTAGAACTCCGGTTTTCGGGTCTAAATCGAAGTAAGCATTGACACCAAGAGTCTCAAAGGTGTTTGGCAAACTTCCCACACCATAGAAATCCTCGCTTGCACCCTGCTGAAGCGGAGGAGGGGCGAGACTGTAGCTCAGTTCAGATTGGCCATCCCTGTCCACTGCATTAAGGCTGATGACCTCTACTCCAGGTGGTGAATTTTCGGAAACGCTGGCTTTGAACTCGTGCATTTGAAACTCCGGTGGGTATTCGTTCACATCGAGAATACGAAGAGTTATAATTTGTGTGGAACTGAGTGACGGCGAGCCAAAATCTCGACAGCGAATAATTGTGGTGAGGATGGATTCCTGTTCAAAATCAAAAGATCGAAGGGTTCGAAGAGAGTAGAGACCTGGGGCACTATGAGAGAGCTCAAATGTAGTATGGCTGTCTAATTCACAGGTGGTACGTGAGTTCTCCCCAATATCGGCGTCTTTGACCCTAACCACTGCGATGTGACCGGGTAAATAGTTTTCTGGAACTACAAGATCGTCCGAAGAAGAGACCGATTCACCAGCGGGAACAATCTCAATTATAGGTTTGTTATCATTAACATCCTTGACGACTACTTCAACGTCTGCGTTTGAAGTTGGATTGCTGGCGCATTCACTGGCAACGGTGTCACATGCGGTGACGCTAAACTCATAGGAACTACGAATTTTCGCATCTAACGGCCTCCGTAATCGAATCTCTCCAGTGTTCGCGACAATTTCAAATGTGTCCACCAGATCTGGATCGACCGGCTCACGGAATGAGTAAAATATTCTTGCATTTTCTGCTGAATCTCTGTCAGTGGCATTCATATGCAAGATGGTAGACCCAACGGCAAGAGATTCCGAGATTTCAAGACCATATCGACGTTTGTAGAGCTGAGGCAAGTTGTCATTCACATCTTCAATCTCAATTAAGACATCTGTCGAGGTGCAAGAGTGAATGTCGCAAGCCGACAAGACACCGGAGTAATTTGATCGAACTTCACGATCCACAGGGGAATTGAGGCGTAATCGAATAGCGGGAAGGCTGGTCTGATCCAGACTAAAAGTTTCCGTCGCTTCAGACCACTGATACCGCGTAACCTTGTTTCGTGGATCCACATCAGCATCAGTAGCCGGTCGAAGACCGATTGATTTTCCAACTTCTGAGTTTTCTGGGATGCTTACCCGCTGGATAGAGCTTGCAAAGATCGGTTTGTTGTCATTTATGTCATTCACCTTGACCCTTAGGTGCATCGGTGTCATAAGATTTCTTGTCTGTGCATTAATCACATAGACAGTTTCAGTGAGAGTACAGTTTACAGTACCACAGCATTGTTTGTGCTCCTGACAGAGGCTTTCACGATCAAGTACAGTTTTGACCTTGACCTCACCTGATTGGCTGTCCACATTGAAGAAATCACCGGTGTAAATGAAGACCGTTTTTGTGCCCGAATAAGTAGGCACGACATCTCGTATTGAACCGATGGTGGAGTTCACTTCGGTCTCTTCATGAATCTCGAAATTCATGCTGATTTGACTGCTTGCATGTACTGCAGTTAGAAGGAGTAGGACAGCAAGATTTTTTAACATTCTGACACATATGGAAGAAAGAGGCCGGAGGTGAAAGAGGAGAGATGGGTGTCTAGGGGAGATAGAACATTAGTGGGACACGAAAAGGCAAACAGAATCAGCGCAGTAGAAATTGTGCTAGCCAAGTGGCTAGGCTAGCTTGTTCAGGGAAAAGTGTATGTGCGCGTGCGTGCGGACGAGCGCATCGGTGCACGCTTCACACATACACGCACACCCACCGACTGACAGACTAACGAAAGAACCGTAGTCGCCGTGGTACGGACAGGCACGCACGCAAAGTATACCATCTGGCGTGGAGTGCGTTGTAAGTGGCTGGTACAGCCATTCATTGGCTTATACACACACAATCGGGGCACACAGGCGGACCAAGTGGGGTACCATTGGCCAGCTGGCAGGCTGGTACAGGCACAAATACAATTTTCCACGTGTTTCACGGTCGTCTTAGTGTTTGGCTTTGCATTTTTTCGCTGGTTGCCGTGGCTGCCGTCCTTCTATGTTCAAGGGGGTTCTCTGTGTGTGTACGTTTGCGGGTGCATGTCTGTATTATGTACCCACCAGCATGCTTATTCAGACAGACGAGATTATTCACAAGGTCTGTAGTAAGATGCGTGGTGATGGGTCTCCTTTGTCACACCCTCTGGTTTTTTCACCGAAAAATCTGTTTTGGTGTACATACCAGACACAGACATGGATACATGACATGTCGAACTCTGAGTTAGAAGCACAGTAGGCTATGCGTGGGATTGCCTTGGTCTGTGAATACCAAACCAACTTATTTGCCGAAACTTCGCAAGCTTCCGTTTTCGTCAGAGATCCTGATGTTGAATAAGTTAAATTCTATATTACCAATCCCCGAACTACCTCATTGTTCTTCAGATCCGCAAAGCATGATATTTTGACCTTAGCCTTTTAGTACTTTTTTGTAGCATACTGCAGGTCTTTAATTAACTATTTTTGTTAGCATGAAGCGCACGAGTTACTCCCAAAGGACCATGCCACCGGCGTGGAGGCTGAATTACGAGGGGCTAAAAGGTGCTCACTAAATACCAGTGGAAACACATCTGCATTTAACGGTAGATTCTACCTCCTATTCCCACTGTTGGTTAATTGCTTTGAGGAGTTCTGGGGCTAACCTAAGTCAGGCCAATGGTCTGCAGTGAGTACCCAAGCTATTCGGAATGTGAGGCGGCTTCTCGAAGCCTCGCCTTGAAATAATCCCTCTTCTAGTTTTACCAGTTAACTTGGTACTGTCCGACCACTGTTTAGTTTCAGTAGTTGTTGGATGCTCAAATTTCCTTAGTAATTCATAATTCTTAAATCATTATTACGCGGAATTCTTTGGAGGACGATCTGGTTGAATTTTTTGATAAAAAACCGCGACTTGGAATTCGATTTAAACTTGGTAATTCTTTTCTTTCAGTTCTTTCGGTGTCTTGCTACGCTGATCCACCTAGGCCCAATACTTCTCTGAAGCATCACCGAGTGTTAAGAAACAAGTATTTGTTCCGTATAACCAACTATGAGATTCAGCTTTTACCACGGAGCTGCTGTATGCGGTTTTCATGTATGGTCGATGCCCAGTTAGGTTGATGTGGCAGCCTTGTAGGTGGGTCTATTGAAAGGCATTATTCCATGCCACTGACACCTTATTTGCGCATAACCAGATTAATGAAAGCGTCAGTAGGTGAGTGTGTTTCAAGCTCACGGTCATTCCTACGCATATGTCTTGCCTTTCTCTGTAAGATGAAGAGGTTGGTTTTCAGTTGACAACCCCCGCAATCGATGAGCCAACTAAAACGGCCACTCGATGTCTTTTGATCCACCTCCAAGCCAGGTAATAGCTGTCGCTACATTAGCCTGGCAGAAAAAGCCACCTCCCCTCCTTCCCTCCACCCGACTGAAACTGAGAGGTGACGAAATGCATTTGCTTAACCTCTAATTAAAAGCAATGCAACTCGAGGGGTGACATGCTACTACCTCGGCATTACGATGCAGTCTTTTCGATTCTCATTCTCTGTGTGTCAATTTTAGAGGACGATAATGATCATTCTCAAACAAGGTACATTAATTTTTGTAATTTCGCACTCGATTCACCAGACCAAGCTAACTTCCTTTTTCCCTTTTTCTCTGACAGTAGATGAGTGCACGTTTAGGAATGGGGAAGCGCATTTCAAACTGGGATTAGGTAGGTTGTCGATAGAGGGGCAGAGTCACTAGTTTAAAGCGACTAAGTATTTATGAGCGGTTTGAAGTTATTAGTCACTTGTTGTAAAAATAAAGGTATCGTTTGAACTGTCTTAAAACTTCTTCGAAGTAGCTTCGTGGTAGACTGTAGTCCATTCATTTTATGAGATTTAAAGAGTGCGAAAATCTTCTGACTTGCGTATAGCTCTATCATATCATCTCTTTTCTTTTTTTCGAGATCTATTTATTTTCTTTCGAATAATCTTTTCAAATATGACGAGAGCCAAGTAATAAGGATTTCTCAAGTTCTTTTAGCTACCAAAGTATCAGCTTCTACGTAAGTGGCCACACATAGTGTGTGCGTCTTCCAGCCCCTCCAACATCTCTATAATAAAGATACCTTCTGACCAACATTTTTGCATTATTAGTTTTTTGATAAAAGTGCGTATAAATTCATATTGGGGAACGATAGGTATTACGGCACCCACATTGTGCATAGGATGTGCCTGAGAATGTGGCATTTCTTCTATCTTTGGTCTGGCGTTTTTTGAATGGAAGAGTAAAAAGGACACCATATTTCCATGTTCTTGTTTTTTACACTTGTGTAAAGATGTTCGTTACGTGAGTCGATGGCCGTCAATTGATTGCAATCATGACGGCAGTAGACGCAATAGCACTACAAGCACCTGGGACTGTAGTTATCACGGTTTGCCTCGCAGCTCTAGGAACTGCATTTTCTTTGATTAATTAGCACCAATTATTCGTTTTCGTAGTAGGCTCATGCAAGAAAAGTCCGTCTCTCAGACGGTACTGAATAAAAAGATTTTCTTAGCTGATCGGGGGAGTCAAGGTCAAGGCACAGCCGATCAGAATAAAGGATTTGTGACCGGGGTTCGCTTAACTGAAGAATGCATCCAATTTTGGCATATATGACATTTGTAATGTGATTAGATATACTTTAAGAAGAAATATTTGAGATCTAAGGGAATAAAAGTGAAGATCACCTTTAATTAACCCTTGAAGGTAATGAAAACAATTCAGAGGACGTGGAAAAAATAAGAACCTCCTTTTACTAGATTATGAAAAACCGTAGTAAGAAATTACCGAAACATGAACCCCCGAAAGCTAACCGATTGAAGGAAAGCGATTTAAGAAATTAATAAATAGAGAATTAAAAGACCAAATGAGCGGGAAACAGAGAGTATTCAATGTCGACCGGCTTTATTCACTTTTTTCTGCATTTTACAGATGGTGATTCATGTAGTCTCTAAAAGTGTGACGAATTAATGGTATCTTATTTTTTCCGGTAGTCGGGTCATTCTCCCCAAAAATACCCATTTTTGTGACTTGTGATTGAATGCAATGCTCCCTAGTTGAGGGCTGCTGGTAGGAAAAACCGTAGGCTTCTAGTAGCTGAACTACGAAGAGACTAGTGTCAACATCCATAGCATTTAATAAGCAGTTAGTTCGGCAAAGTTAAAGTAAAAGCAACCACCTTCCTCTTGGATTTAGAGCTACTACTGGTTATTTCTCCAATCGGATTCAATTTAACCGTAATACATGAAAAGAGATCTCGGACAGACGAAAGGCTTGATTCTGGTAGATTCCAACAGGATTGATCTGTCATGTTCTATAGCAGCAACTCGGTGGATTGTTGTTAAACGCCTTTTTTACTCTCTTCGAATTCGAGTAAAGTTGCTATCTAGTTCTGGTGTCACAAATATGTGACATGTGTTCCTATCAGCTCGCACCAGTCGCAGACTGGTTGAACCTAAAAATAAAATAGAAACAGAATACCTGTGGCAGGATGACAATTGCATTTTTTAAGTTCTTAAACTGCGGTCCAGTTGTTCAAAAAATGAATGGCAGTGGCATTTGGGTTGTGGTGGTTGATTTTCTCTGAGACTAGTAACGAATGTGTTGATCATGACGCAGAAGCTGGAGCATAGCTAATTTTCTCCGTTCATTTTTTACTGCTCTACGCTGATTCAACCATCTACAGAAAAAGTCTTCCTTCTGAAGTTGGATCAAATTCAAACATCGGGACAGGAGCGCGGTGGTATGCAACATTTCTTTTTAGCCCAAGTATTTTGACAAAATAGCTAAAATCTGTACTTAAAGCCCTATCAACTACTCAGTCCCAAGTCGTGTCTGTGTCTAGAGAGGTGAGAAAAGGAGCGTCTGATTCTAACCGGTGATTGTTACCATTGATGCAAACAATTGTACGTTTAGAATAGGAACGACGCCTTCCAACGGGGGCACATAACATTCTCGTGCCTCACGCAAGCAAAACCGTTCTCCTCTGCTTAAACTCTGCATAATAACTTTTTTCAAGTCATGAAAGCGAACAATAAAGTCTCCCTTTTTGATTTAAAGAAATTTCACAGAAAAATGCAACCATGGAGGGAGTGATAAACAAAGGTGTTGCTTTTTTACAGATTGAGTTAAAATGTTGTAGTCTTCCCCATTTTCTAATTGAAAACTTTACAAGTGGATTTTAAAGTGAAAACTACATATCTTCGTATTTGCCCACCTGGGCTTTTAGGTCTTTGCAGGTTGACGTCGCTAGTATGGCATCGTGTCAGTCTCTTCCTTTTGGCTTTGTTAATAGCCTGCCAGGCCTTCTCTGAGTTCACAAAGTTATGCCCAGGCTCAGGGCGGACTTGAAGGCTGCCCTGGCAGCAAAAATCCCGATTTGATTGCCTGAATGGTAATTGTTGTATGTAGCTGAATTTACAGAGACTGGTAACAGAAGGGTTATCTAATACAAGTTCACTTTTGACAGTCCCTCTAATCGTGTGTTCAGCTGGAGGACTACTAAAGTTTGAAACGACACTGGATATGAATTATTGAGAACGCCTATTATGGATCTGTCTACGAAATTTATGTGAACCTCTATAAATTATGTTAAGATACTCTGTCGCCGTCAGATAAACAGGTGGGCAGTGGTGACACGGTATACCCAGTTCGCTCGCTGAAGGCCACCCATCAGTCTTGAACAGTACTGAAGAGAATGTCGGAAATGGTCCTCAAGGGGAAATGTTTATTTTGATTGTTCGTTTATCCCCTTCAATTGTTCCTCCTCCACCGGTCTCGGTCACTCTTATGGTGTCTGAGTTTTACCCAAAACGATCAAAGCAGAAAACTATGGTGACTTTTATGAGAGCATCGTTCAAAGATTTGCTTAAAAAAAAACAAATTTTGTTAGAGTTAATGAATGTCGGATGAATTAGAAAAGACTGTTTTATGACGGTAGAACAAACATGGGGTTTTCCAAGCACAAAGAAACCGATGTTTACCCGCTGCATTTAGCTGTTAGTGATGAGGCATTGGGACTGGGTCCGAAACTGTTAAAATGGTCCAAAATATAACGCCATTCTACTCCAACCGAAAAAACATGTTAAACCTTCGTTTATCTTGTTAACCAAGCGGTTGAAGCTGACTACTTGACGACGGTTGTCTTATGGAAAGGCGCGGTAAAAAACCCTCCTTGCTTGAGAATTACAAAGTAGGCTCACAATGGGTGTACAATTCGTTTACACCGCTTTTTATAGCACTTTTTAAAGTTGAAAGATAAAACGAAAGCACAAAAGCTAGTGTGATGGGAAAATCCATTGGTTTCGAGTGGACAAGTAACTCTCAAATGGCGATTTGAGCGCTATATAATTCCCGCGGTTGAGTAACCGCAGAAGTTCTCTTGACTTGCCTTATCCGTTTAAACAATCATTCAGTTCCTCCTCAATCTATTTAGAATCTATCTAAAACCATTTGTCCATGTGTAAAGTAACCTGGTACCTTCCACTCGGCCGTGTGTCTACCGTACTTCTAGGCCTACGTGTAATCATTTGGTTGTCGAATTTCAAGAAGTAATGAGGTTATCTGAGCAAATTCATCAAACTTTTCGGGTGGTACACTGTTCTTTTACGGCACATGGCCCCTTAATCGTAAGCTATATAACTATTTTGATAAGGCGTCACCTTTTACAGCTTTGGAACCGAGTCAAGCGCGGTTTTTAAGGCGACCAATCTTGAATTACGCCTACCGGCGTCATTCCAGTGACGTTTCGTTGACGAGGGAAAATTATGGAGAGTACAATATCGAGCGCCGTGCAGACCAGCTTACGCATATCCACGCATTCTAGAAGCCCCTACCAGTTGAAACAGGTCATGGCAGGGAGAACATGAAATTTTAATGTCTAGCTTGGTAGACATTTTACTCATACTTACTTTAGGATATCAGTCTTCAGTAGGTGGTTTCCGGGATGTGGAGGACAGGAATGAATTTAGTCAAGTTTAAGTGTGTCACCCTAACACTTTTACCAAGGAGACGACTACTCTGGTGATAGCTGATAACAAGAAAAATAAAAATAAAGGTACCTATTTTAAAAACTAGCTAGACTAGTACATGATATTTAACTTGCTTTTCATTTGGGCTTCAATTTGTCATGAAGACAAATCCTCAACTTAGCCACTCATTTACTTGGACAAAATGCCATTTGTCTTGATTGTACACTCAATTAAGGGGGTTGTTTTAGTCTTCCTCACATCAGCCATTTCGCCTTCGGAGCTATCCTAGCCACTGCGTTTGTGACATCCCTTGCCTCTTGAGTAAAATGCTATCCTGTAGACTATATGGACAAAAGGGATTTTCTGCAGACGCCTTGAATTAAAGAAGGACCATTAGAATAATATAAACCTTTTTACAGCCACCTTACCCCAGATTTTGCATCTTGACCTGTACTTTTTGGGAGCCTATATTCAAAAAGGTCATCAAAGGATCAGCTAAACAGAAAATGCTAAATGGAAAGATTGGAAAAAAATTTAAACGGGCGATTGGACACCATTAAAATTCCAATAATTTAGATGAACGGAATGGTATCAAGAGGTTCTCCGAAGACCGAACGCGGATCATCATCCGGTCCTAATATTTGGATGTATAAAAATCATTTCCTTTTTCGTAGTTGATGAACGACGGAGAAGAGTGATTTCTGGAAGAGCCAAGAACGATTCTTAAAAATCTAATAAGGAAGAATTAGTCGGGAGATGTCCAGTCCCTTACAAATTAGCCTCTACGATGGGGCACGTACACCGGTGTCACTCTTCCAGGGCAACTCCCAGAAATCAGTGGCCCATGGCTCCTCCAGGGATAACTTAGATGTGCATGTTTAATTTGAACATCGGCCGATTCATGCTTGACTATCCGATTTTACTAGTTCTTTATGCTAGAAGTAGAGGAAAAAATACTGCATGGGATAGCCTTTAGCCAAAATGCCATTAGTGGCAGCAAATCACGGAAGATTAACGTGGAGGAACAGAAATTGGCACGAACCGCATTGCCAAAGGTGTGTATATGCGTGTGCGAGAGCTGAAAACCACTTTTATAGCCAAAACCCAATGCTAGGGCGATAAAGCCCTTCCGGATTATGACGAAGGAATCCTTACGCAAAAGAAGTGCAGATCGGGCTTTACCGATATCTCTTCTGGTGCTTGGTCAAATTATTCGCCTTCTTCTCCTCAGCTAGATATCGAGCAAGCACTGATTTATTAATAGAATATTTATTTGCAATTTTGACGGATTAATGTACTAAAATATCCATTTTCGTCTTTTTGAGTGGTGACTGGTTAGTTTTGTTCTTCACTCAAGGTCAGTGTTTCTAATAAACCTTGAACCTCTAATGAGTTTCAAAATTAAAAAAAATCATTTACAAAGAGCTAAAAGTTCAGTAAGCATTTCTGACATTGCTTAAAGTTTCCATAGGCAGATTCTCTTGTTTAAAACGATAAAAATGGAGCAACATTTCCGAACTGAATAGGAAAGAAATGTTACGCAGGATTACACAGTGGATGATTATTTTTTCCAAAAACATCTTTCTGAATAGGTGATTAAATCGCTGTTATTAAAATATATTAATTTGTGTGAGTGTGAAGAAGTGTTTCCTTCCAACAATAGACAAGATCTTACGATCGCAATGGTCATATCAATCAAATTTGCTTTCGAAAATGACCAATTCTGTCACAGTATTGGTATTTAGCAGCTGGTATGCCTCTGAAGACTTTATAAGCCACAAGAATCTGGTAGCAGGCTTATTGTAAGCCAGTAGAAAGGTTGACGGGTTTTTACCAGGGTTGGGATTTATTCGAAAGAGACGGAAGGACAAAAATGAGTCTTTTGCGATACATTCGACCACTACCCACCTGTTGTCAACTGCCGGTTAGAAGAGATAAGGCAGGCTTTCTCTTAACCATGAACAAAAAGGTAAAGAATACCAGGATAATCCTATTTCACTTCCAAAAACCCACCCTTTTTAATTTATTCCAAATCCTTTTTCGTTCATTTATCTGTTATACCATCCTTCACTCATTCCCTAAAGAGAGTAAGCTATTCAAAATCACCCATTGCAAAATTAGCTTGTTAGTTGGGTCTTTACATATCGCGACACCTAGGATGGGTGTGTTTTTCCTGTGGGAACCAGCTAATCGACCTAGACGTCAACCTTCTGTGAGGCACCGATGAAGACAACTACTTTTTGCGGGTATTTAGGGCACACCTTACCACACTGCCAAAAATGTAGATTCCGAGACATTGTGAGAGAGGATAAAAGATATTTTTATCATTGGTATGTTGAAGGTCAAGAAGACGAGTAGCAGAGTTTCATAATAACGATATTGGGGCAACACGCTACAGATACAATAGCCATTGGTTAGCCACGTTTGTTCGTGGAGAAATCTTGCCCATTTGGCCGTAAAATCGGAACACGCCTTGCGGTAGCAATGACACCAGTCATGAGGTTGAGGTCATACACAGTAAAGCACCCTCATGACCAAAAAACTTTCTTGAATGTACTTCTCCAGTTTATCTCTCACCGTCAGGCAGTAGCCCCAGGCCACTTGCGCCATTTTTCCAGAAATTTTCCAAAAATCTAGCGGGTAATAGTGGGTTCCCTTTGTAGATCTTATTTTTTTTGTCCCCTCATCGGAATGGTAGGAGATATCAATCTGCCTACCGTATCATTTCTACCATGGGAAAATATTGACTACCTGTGCTTGGTTAAATAATCGTGTTTTGATTCAGTTTTACTTGTTTTAATTTAATTTTGTATTCCAAACTTTAAATTCGTGTGTTTATGATAAATGAGAACGCAGTTAATCATTATCGATTTTATAATCGAGGTTTTTGGTCCCACCAATTGATTCACAAGTTTCGAAAAGAACAAATGCATCAGAACTGAGTAAATTTAAGAGGGCTAATTTATTTAATAAAAATGAAAATGGAGTCTAACAAGAACAGCAAATAAATCAAAATTTCAGCCAATTACCGAACCAAAAGTCCAAATACTTGAATCGATATATTTTTGTTGTAATCCTTTGAAGCAACACATATTCCCTTTCCCAAATAACTGACACAGTATTGTAAATTGTAAACAAGAAAGTTATTTTGTGTAGAAAACGAAAAATGGGTAACTAACAAATTTGGTGAAAAGGAAATGTATAAAGCTACAGAATTTTTAAGAGTCGTGTAAGGCTCCTAATCTTTCTGGAAATGTGTAAAATTAAAAGCACTAGATAAAAGTGTTTAGGTACCCCTAGTTAATGTCAATGCTAATGTTAATTTTTTTAACGGGTAGATAATTTGTCAGACCTATGAAACCTCTAACCCAGAAAGATCAATTTTTGCTTGAGTGGAATCATGTATTTTTTCAACAGAGTATGAGACCTTTTCTTAAACAACAAACCCTGTAGAACTGATTAAATTTTAATTTAATAAATAATGCGTAGGAGAAGCCGAAAACAAAAAGAAATACATTTGAAACATAAAGACACATAAATGGAATGGGTTCAGGTAGTTACAAGCGCAGTAAGTTGTAAAAACACAAAATTTTGTGCTGTCCATGATCAAAGATGTGAGAAAATAGGAAGAATTTTATTGAAAAATAACAAACAGGTGTTCTTTTTAAGTGTTTTTTTTTATAATTTGGGGTAAGCTTTCTCTTGGTGATCTAGAAACCAGCAACAGTTGTTTAAGTAAACTTTTGTGCTTTTTGCCCAGCTTTAGTGGTATTTTTTGGAGCAATAAACACTACAATTTCGTGCCGTACGTAAAAAAATCCTTTGTGGTAAAATAGGCAAAAATGTCAAATAACACAGCTTGAGAGCTGGAAATACATAGAGCCGAAGAGGATTAGGCTAATTCCTAAACGACCAATTGCTTCCGAACCGCAACAAAAAAAATGTAAAATCATCTGGCTACAGTTTTGCATTGGCACTTAACGGTAAAAGGATTTCCATCTAATAAGGAATTAGTGAATCCGAAAAAGAAACATTTTACAGCCTCTGTACAGTCCCAAATTTTCCCCACAAAATATGCAGATTTTGAGGATGCCCATCACAAAGGTGTTCATCAAACGTAAGACAAATGACCTTTTGTAGGAAATAAAGTAATAAAAATCATATTTGGGACTGAAAGCACATATAGAACTACAAATACTTCAACAATTCCCTCATACCTTTATTCATTGTGATCTTTAAATTTTGCGCGTCCATGGGAAGAACATCAGAAGGATATTTATATTCAAATCACTGATCAGTCGAAGTACTGGATTATAAAGCTGGTTACGTGTTTCTAGATCAACATATTGTTTGCATGTGTATTTAAAAACTTAGGGATATTTGGCTCAATCCGTTCCCGTATTTCTTATAAAGTATATAGCTTGGAGGAGTCAAGGTTTATAATAAAGCGTTTTCCCTAATTATTAACCAAGAAAAACAATAGCTTTTTTGCCTTAGCCAATTTATGGACCCCTTTTGCTCAAAATAAGCCATTATTATTTAAAAGATTGGTATTATGATTTTTACTCCGTTTCCGGTAGACACAATATTTAAAAAAACAAGCTAAAAATGGCAAAGTAGTGAGGTGCAGACAGATCTTGGTAATTAGCTTGTCTTAATTTTTCTTCAAATTTATGAGATTTTCATATCAGAAAAAGAAAACAATGAGCTTTTGAGTAAAAGACCATGCAACTGCTAAATGTTTAGTGATTTGTAATTATTTATGAAACAGCATAAATGGCAAATTTTTTGCAATCAGTATACACCAAAATAATCATTTTCAAGTTTTATTCAAAATTGTCAAAAATAGCAGTGCAATAAAGTATCACAGAAAGGTATTTTGATTGGTAGTGGACTAAAAAATCAGTATTTTGCCCCATCAGGATAGGTCATGAGGAGTTTTGAACAGTTGCTTCCTTCATTTTTCAAACTTTCAGGATTGACACTTTTTGGTTCATTAAAATCATGTCTTTTACTCTCCTTATTTCTGCCACTTTTCATCAATAATGCAGTCAGTGTAAAAGATAAATGGTTTGCAGTAGAAAAACAACGAAACAGTAAACACATTTGAAGTTGGACGTAGCCCAATTTTGCGTGGGATGGTCACACCCAACCGTGAGAGTATCATTTGTAATTAAAATGAGCATAGGATGTAGAGTTATAAGCATGTGGGTAGGTGTAAAATTCTACCGTGTGAGGTATTGTGCAGTTCACCTTCTGTCCATCTACACTGGAGATATTATTGAGGCGTGCAGTGGACAGCTGCTGCTTCTGAAATTAGAAGTTAACGTACAGTTACACCTGTTTACGTGATCGTTAGAGCATGGAGAAGTTAGCCAATTCCGTTTTTTACTCTCTGTGATCTTCTCCAGGTTTAATAACACACTTAGAGGAGAAACATGCTTTCATTCTCTTTCTAAATACTGCTTAATATCAAGTTACATTGAGTTTGTAGGCACTAGCGAGTGCCTGCTATTTGCAATGCCTATTTATGGTAAATAAAAAAGCCTACATATCCGAGGAAGTTAAGCTGAAGAAGAATGAAAAATACATGTTCCCGGCACTTTTGATTAGGCTGGCTTTTATAAATGACTTAAATCACAGAGCATTTACAAATGAAAAGGTGCCCTCAAAAGGTTAAAGCTTTAACCATGACCACCTCTTTACTTTCTGGAGAATTTACTCAACCCATATTTGGAGTGACCCGATTGCTTGCTTAATAGCTATTCCTATGCCTTAGACTGACCTGATTGTAATCTCCAACATAGCTGAAAAAGTATGCTTTTAGATAAGTAAATAAATATTTATCTAGTAGGTCATTTACACATTTCACAGGACAAGCATTCGATGCTATTAGTTTGACTGAAAAGTGGGGAAAATATCTTTTTTAGTAAGTGGCTGATTGAGATCTGTCTTGACCTATGCCTAGTGGTGTGACTGGTAGTAAAACAGATAAAAATAATTAAAATATATAACTGGGAACCGTTTTTTTTTCCTAAGTAAACACAATCTAGCTAAACAATAGCGAGAGAGACACCATTTCAAACACAAAATCGCTAATTTCTGCCCACCTTAAGTGCTCTCCTGCTACTTCTGATTACACTTTTAGTTTAAAAAGTACTTTTTACTATTTCTTGCAATGTTTGTAGTAAATTTTATTTTAGTGGGAACTGCAAGGCAGGAAAAACAAAACTGTAGACGAGCATTCGCCAAAAAAAAACAAATTTCCTGTTTTTAATCTCTAAAAAACAAATGTGTGAGAGAAGCTAAGGCTTTGGAATTAAACTCTACTTTTGTTGATCACTTTTCGTTGCAACAAATTTTTACAGATAAATAAAGGGGTGGGCTTAGACCAGTGCTGTTTTTAGTCCCACATACAGGCCCTCGTTCTAACTGTAAAATTGAATAAATATGGTTACAGGAGGTGCGCCTGTGAAATCGCAAGATGGTTTATGGTCAGTGCATTGCAGGTTAGTCAGTAATTTGATCAGTGTTGGTTATTCATTACTGAATAACTCCAACTTTAAAAGCTAGGTAGCTGGACAATGCATGGGACAAGAACGAAGGGAATGGGAAGAAAGGGAGGTAGGCAGGGTAGGAGAGATGAGGCACAATTAATTAATCAAGAGAATGGCAATTTCGGACCATCGCATTCTCCCATGATTCACACATCTGTGATTTTGTGTCTGTTGTAGAAGAGCGGCGTAATTCAATCTTTTAAAAGTTGTAAATAGGTTTAATAAAAAAGATATAAAAGACTGATGTGTTTAATCACTTAATTTCCAAGTTAATTTTTTTTGTAATTTTGAAAGTTCATGTCTTGCAGTTTGTAAGGAATTCAAATTTATGACTGCACTACTCTTCTTGAAATTTGACGTTCACTTTTTAACAAGTTGGTAATCAAAGCACTTCTAGATTCGCAGGCTCCATAACTTCCCTAACGGAAACTCAGGTGGTACATTGATGGTGACATCTTTTACCCCTTGAGAAGAATATGGATGCTTTCACCGGTGCTTCTGTCCAAATGGTAGCTATGTACTGTGGGTGATTGAATCTATGGGGACTCAAAACAAAAGAAGTCATAATACAGATGGGTTATATCATGACCAGTGATGGATCAAGGCATTCGGTGGACGACTTCTAGACGGCATGCGAAGTGTTTAACAATAGAATTTAAAGGTCCGACGACGCTCTGTGTAACATGGAACTAAAGGTAAGTATTGGTACAATTGATAATAAATAAAGGAATTTGGGGAAAACTTTGAGGACCTAAAACACAGATGTATTTATTTTGTTACACGATTTTTGCTTTCCATTTAACAGTTTTACGAAAATAAACACTTTTGTTGCAGGAAATCTCTTGGCTTTAAGCTGTATTTTATTCATGAATAGATTTTCCAAAGATTTTTCATCTAGTAAAAAAATGGCCTTTCAGACCTTAATAAATAAAAACCAAATCTGCGTAATCACTTGAGAGCTCTCGAAAATAACGCGGCCACCAGTATTTATTGATCAGTTTGGCCCAGATGTTGGATATGTGGATGTGGATCGATCAGTTCTTTGAACATCGAAGTGAATTAAGTTTCGGGGGCAATCAATCCCCCCCATTGCGCACACAGCGTGTACATAAAACACCCGCCTCATTGACTTCATTATTGCCCTGTGCTTGGGAATCAAATTTAAACAAACCCCATGGTATTTTGAATAAGATGGTAAATTCGACAAAAAGGCTAAAAATTAGGAGAACCATTTGATTACTTGTCCTTACGTCAAATTGACGGCGCTCACGAAGGCATAAATGAATTTCTGCACATAAAATATAATAACATCGTATTCTTTTCTTACTAGAAGTTTATGTAATTATATCAAGTGTGGATTGCATTTCCAGAACTGCAGTAAATAATTTTCACACTGGAAGACCTTTAGATTTTCTGTCCTGAAAACCGACAATTTAATTAACTTATAAGTTATTTCAGTGTTTTAATTGACTATGCAATTTACGAAGTGATCCCACTTTTGAAAAAAGGCTAACAATGAAAGAAATCAGGGGGCTGACATTTACCTTAACCCACCCACTAACACAGGCACATGAGGATGAGTTGAAGTACCGGTAAAATCAGTGTCGCTAGTTCATACAAATTCAGGCGAGAATAAATAATATGCTAGTTGCTTGTTTAACTCTTGGTTTTGCTAAGGGGGCATTTAGGTGCTCCGACATTGTACCTCCGTCGGGTGGGTTGGTCTTTGGGCTATGCCAGAAGCCCCACACTAACAATACATATTTCACTTGAGTATTTGTCCTCTGTGGTCTTTAAAAAAGTTTTGGAACGCCATATTAGTGGCTGCGGAAAGCAAAACCCGACTTTAAAGGACAACTATCCTGATCGCCACTGCTGAGCTATAAACCTTGGCAGAGCGGGAGGATTGTGTATGCTACAGATAGGAGAATCGGTTACGACTCCGGTTACTCCGATCCTGTGGTCTGCAGGAAAGCTAATAACAACCGAATCGATAGTAGCAGTAGTCCATCTAAGAAAAGTTTGTCACGGAGCTGTCAACCTTTTCTGCATAAAGATATCAAATATGTGAACTCGCGATACCTCTTCCATTTCTCTACCATTTAAATAGAACCCGAACAAATATAGCTGGGCGGTTCTAAAGCAGGTGGCAGTGAGGATCAGACGCGAAACCCGATCCCCACCCAAATATGGTAAACGTCAACCTTTGTCATTTGACTGCTTTTCAGACCGGCATTCCTACGACTAGCGATTGACATGCATAATGGCTAGCACATTCCCCCCTCCCCCGATACAGATCCCATAAGGGCCAAAATTTCGGATCTAGTGAAAATTTCAAGAGGGATCAGTGATACCGAGGTCAAATATCCTCTCATTTGCACGCGAATTCGATGACTGCATCGGTTGGTTCGTGGGCTTTTTTCTTACTTTGTGATGGCAAACTCAAAAGGTTAACCAAGAGGAGCGTTGAGGATGACGCTCAGAGGAGGGGAGCCTTGAAATACTTTGGTTATTTAACTCTCGGTATTGGTAATGGGTCACTTAGGCGCTCCACCATTGTACCTTCTTTAGGTGGGGTGGCCTTCGGGCCATGCCAGTAGCCCCAAGCCCACTTACATGTCAAATTTGTGCATTCTGCCCGAAAATTATGCCTTTCGTATTTAGAAAAGTATCGACGCCCGATTTATCAAAGCCTGACAAATGAACGCACCCACAGCTGACTCAATACCGCCAGCTGCGATCAATAGCATCGATTTTTGTGTTAAGAAGGGAGCGATTAAACTATGGCGGCATTGACCTGATAAGTGGGTCACATGACCCCTTCCTTGCCAGCCCACTTTTACGGAAATACGGCTATTTCTAGGCCTGTTTTAATAAGTATAAACTTTCCGTGACCCAGCGAGGTAACTGGTTTTGAGGGGAAAAGCATTTGCTTTTAGTGGGAGGGGGTAAGGGGAGGATTTCCGATGATGTCCTTTCGTAAATATCCAGTACTTTTAATTTTTATGTGCTTTTCAATAAAAAATGGTATATGAGTTGAAGTGGCGAAGTTAAAGCACTTCTGTCTACAAATATCGAGGCGTATTACGGTATTTAATACAACACAATAGTGTTGAATTAAGCGGTTTTTTACCTTTAATTTGAGCGATAAAATTAAGCACTTTTAAAACTTTATACTATTACATAGCTGGCCTAGACTTCTCTGAAGCCTAAAGAAGACATATTACTCGGGTGTAATATGTGCTATTGGCCTACATTAAATCTTGGGGCTGCCGGCACGTCCCGGAGGCCGGGCTGCTCAACAGAGGTACAATGGCGGAGACCTCAGTGGTTCGTCATTAAATCCGGGAGTTCAGCAAACATTTAATCCATTGCAATTTGATAAAGCAAAAGTGATTTATCATTGTAATACATGTTTCTTTGAATGTACCTTTTAGGCGAGAAGCGGTAAGTATATACGAATCTCGTGACCGGGCGGACGCAATCGGTCCCTGAGGCGGAAACGAACTCTACATCCACGCAACTTCGATCCCATGTGCCCTTTTATAATGCTAGCTAATAAAAGATCTGAACTGAACAATGTGTTCTTTACAAAGGTGTGACGGCAGAGATGGAAGAGGGATATTAAGAATCTGAAGCACTGTTTAGGCACTGCGTCATTTTCCATTCTAACTGGTAACTTTGATCGACTTCAAAAGTTACTAACTAGTTTTTAGAAAGAGTTTTGCGAAAGGTGTGTTGAAAAAATCTAAATCCTGCATAAATTTTCTAAACAACAAGAAGGCGATTCATTTTGCTCTACTCACCACCTAAGTGTTTTTCAATTTTTTCGTAACCTAGAAAACTTCAGCAACTTTCGAAATCTCATTATTGCTAGATGACACTTGAGACTCGCCTCTTGAACAGAACTGGTGTAATTCAATCAAGCAATGTTATAAAGAAAGTGTTTGTTAAAATCATCAGCTATTCTACCTTGAATTATCTACTCTTAGATCATCACCATGTGATACAAGACAGTGGATACAAAATGTTTCCCTTTTTGGCCGACATAACCTTGATTGACACGCAAACGGTAAGAGGAAAATCGACCCGTTGACTCATTTTCACAAGGGAGCTGAGAGGAGCCAATCCAAAGGCCCCAAACAAAGTGGACCAATTAAAGGAAGGAAATTGTATGAACATTAGCCTTGTTAGTCGGTGCATTGCACCGACTCCTGTAAGAGGTAAGGATGATGTAAAAAACTTCTAAGGCTATTCCAAGAATATATGACAGATATAGTGTAGATAAGGTCAGAAGTCGGGGCGTTTTTTATTATAAGCTATATCAAAAATAAGGTTTTTTATGACCTCACTGAATGCTAAGGCTTCTAGTCTCTTTGTCCCTGCTGGTTGTAAATGATAAGGAATTCCCTCAGCCTTAATGCGCGTAAACAATGATAACAATAGTCGAATGGGGCTTTTTTTCTCATTTGTACCATTAGTAACTTGTACCTGCAGGATTTAAACAAGGGAAGCTTTGTGGGGAATGAAGGCCTCATTATCCGGTAGAATTTATTAATCTCAAAGACTTAGATGGTTTTCATCTAAGCTTGGACGATCCCTACGGTCAACGTCGACCATTTTGAACACAATCGCCACGAATCTCGATTGGCGCAGTTCCAATAACTCCCATCGTAGGTCGCCACAGAGGATGGTTTTCTCCTGTTGTGACCAAGTGGTTAGTTGGGCCATCTGGAAAAGTTGCTATTTTTCGTCACAAGCAGTGAAAGACGTAGAGCATATCCCACCTGAAGACTATAAGGTAAAAAATACCTTAAACAATATCTGGCACAATAAAGAAAGTGTAAGATGTTTCTGGTCTGAGGATAAGTCAAAATTTTGCATTTTTCAAGAGGCAGTTGATCTTTACGAAAAATGAATTACAATGGGCAACAATAAAACAACTAGGCTGCTGTGGTTGATTTTCCTCTGAGATCATGGTGACGAAGGTCTTATAGAACCTCTTCAAATAAGAAAAAAAGCAATTTGGCTTTTAATTTCATTACTTGGGAATAGCTCTGCTCTAGCGAAAGGGGAGGTGATAGAAGCCCAGTCTTCTCAAAAATCTACTCCGGAATCTCAAAATGGCTTCATTCTCGAGATAATTTAGCACAGTCGCAGCATTAGAAATAACACTTATCGCTGAAGTGAAAGTAAACGGGTGAAGGAAACGAAGGGGCGAGAAAGATATGAGGTAGAACAGGCGTCAGCGTACGTCTTTTTTTGTCCAGATAAATAATCGGTGAATGGCTGCCCTCCGATCGGCAATCAGACATAGGGGGCAATGGTAGTGGTTGTGGTAGTATTGGGAGCCATGCCAGCAACTGTTGTTTCTGTTCCACCCAGTCTTACACGGCCCTCCCTTTTGCATGTCAGCGACACAAACATGCACACGCATACACACACACACACCCTGTCGTATTTACCTCTGTGGTGATTCACTCCTGACTTCCTTCCCCTCCCGTACTCCTCATAGTCCAGCCATCTGGTGTACATGTGCGTATTTGTATGCTAAAAACAGACAGATGAATAGCAAGTGTGGAGGTAGCGGTGAGGGGGGAGGGACAGTGGTCTAATTGCTGAGTCACATTTGGGTTGTCGTAATGGTTGTCAATTTAATGCGTTATGCATCAGGACTGTTGATTTGATCATGGTTTTACTACGAGGGTTAGCAAGAAATCTGGCAAATGGTTGATAGCGCAGTGGAGAGAAGAGATGAGGGTAAAAGCAAACGTCGGAGGATGAAAGAACAGCGTTCAGGGCAAACCGGGGAACCTACTACAGACGTCTGTCCACCACACAGACAGTCCACATACCGTTAGTCACGATAACAGGCAGAAAACTGTTATTCTGCGTACATGCATGATGAAGGAATTGGTTTGTTAACAAAGGCGTAACATTCAAACTCGTGTCCACAGATGACTTCAAGGGCAGTACTGGCCACTCAGTCACACAGCGGTGAGACTTTTGAAGGGTCGTTTGTGTTTACCAATGGAGATTCGACCGTGGTGGTTTGTGAACATTTAGCGAAGGATCCCTTTTATCCCTTTAAGCATATTTTATTCCTTGAAACACTAATTACGATGTATTATCTTGTTCAACGAGAAATTTGCTTGTTCTGAAACATTTGCTACCGGAAACAAACATTCTGATCCCAGCCAACTCTCTATCTTACATTTGGTTTCCAACTTTCCATTTTCGATATGATCATGTGATTGTCTAATGTCAAGACAAGATGATAGTAATCACCTGGTGAAGTAACACCACAAACTCATAAAATGGGGAATTGGATAGGCAACATCTGTCTTCTGTCTACTGTGGTAAATTGAGAACCTCCACACGACTTTTTACGGGGGTACGAGGTTATCCCTTGTGCGGTCCCATCGTGCATCGAGAAGATGAGTCTCAGGTGTAATTATAATTTGGTCTTCACAAAGCGAACACAACCTTCTGAGGGTTTGGAGGCGCAGAGAGAGGAATGGTCGATGATATGTTCCTCTGGTTCACGAAGGTTAGAATATAATAATCATTTACCAGAATGAATCAGACAGTTGTTCAGTTGTTAAACAGCCTACAACGGTGAATCTTCATAACACACATGAGAGGTGTAAATAACTACACATTGACACTCTTCGGAGGTTAGTGCTCACCGTCTGCTAAGGCAGATGGGTGTAAAGACGTTAAAAATGGAGAAACTCCCCTCTGATGGGTATCTGCCTTCTGATGATCATCACTAGAGTCAGATTGTTAAGGCCATGTCTTCTTCCAACACGCCATACCGCAACTTCTCCAAAAGGCTATACAATAAATTTAAAAGAAGCTAGTTTCCGCGTATTTAAAACCGAGTCTGACTTGGTTCGTGAAGGAGATGACCTTGAATATAATCCACCGGGTTTGTTCAACCGACATTATATGGGCGTTCAAAGTAGTGGAGAATACAATAAAGAGTACCGTAATGAGAGGTTGACCCATACTTACCACAAACAACCTCATGCATTCTGCGTTCTCTTCACTTTCATTCACTTTTTTCAGATTTCCATTACTGATTTTTGTACAAAAATGGGGATCTGGTTGCCTGTTAAGCAGTAGGCTAGTTTTAATGGCTTTTAGATTGCTAGCCTCCACATCGTCAGTTTTCCACTGCAGACGTCTTCCTTTTAGTCAATGTAACGCACGAATTTGCCTTGAAGAGGTCAGCAGACTTTATCATCACTGGTGAGATCTGTCTAGTTCAATGACTAGGACTGAGTCAGTGGACATAGTAGTAGCTAAGCCTTATTCCTTCAAACAAAGATTTTTGGAACGGCAAACTGAAGGGAGAAAGGCAAGTTGATCTAGGGCGAAGCCTCACCAAGACTTTAATTGTTCATTTGCAGCTTAATCGCACTTTGAACTTTGACCTAGTCAAAATCTGAGCCAGACATTGTGGAAATGTGGTAGTGTTAGATAAAGCAAATAGTGAATTTCTCATTTAATAGGAAATGACCTCTAAGGGAACTGATTTTGTAAACTATCGTAAACAAGGCAGGGTCACCAAACTAGCAGCCCGATGCAACATTTTTATGCATGAAGCAGGGTTAAAATGGTAGAAATTGGACAGTTCTTAGTCAAAATCGGGTTAAAAAGGTGGAAAAAAACAAAAGATTAGTAGGGTGTTACTTTTGGAAGTTCCTCCTGAACAATATACACAACCGTATGCAATGATTCTTCATCACAGGGAGGAGATCGTTGACTTCAACGATGGCTTTGCATCTCGCCAGTATCGGTTTATTAGTCAAGTTCCATCTTGGGTTGTTACTAATACACTTTCTACAAACTCATTTCCCATAAGACAGATGAAATATTCGGCGCCTTTTTTCCTTAAGGTCAATTCAAGCGCCAAGATCGATAGTCACATTGGTGGGATTGCCGGTCATGGAGACGGAGTGTCATGATTTTAGAGAACCGAACTTCAGGACCTGCACTACTACCACTACCACCACAAAATCAACGCTGTCAAGTAGGGCCCCGACTGAACCCCAAGGGACATCCTGTAGACGCAGCAGTTTAAGCATCATTCAACCAAAAGTTTGTCTCAATGAGATGCTAGTAATGGCGAGAAGGATCTGGTTGAGCAATGGATCAAATGCAGCTGACATTCCCCTCCCTATGATAGCCATGAAATTTAAGGTGCTGCCGGTATCAGGACTTTCGGTAAGCCAATTTAACGAAATCCAAACTCCAAGTTTTTAATTTTGAGTTCAGCTTAAAACTCTAACAATGGGCGCTTAAAACAGCAGTATTAGCTACTATACACCCTCTCAATGAAATTGGACGTTTCAACCATTATGACTAGTCATCTTATTGCCTTCGCTGCTTATAATTGGAGCTTATATAAATGAGACATTTCAAAATGAGAATTTTATTACGTCTTTAACCTATTAAGGAAGGAGAGCGCCAAGGATCGGGACATAAAGGAGAATGCAAATCTAGAACTGTTTCAGACTTCATGGAGGTAGATGCTGAAAAATGTAAGGAGCCAATAGAATCTGTGGATGTCCAAGCGGAATTGGATCTTGGCGTCTTACTTCAACGCTGGCTGACCAAACTAACGGATATTGAAGCCTGTGAAAATTCCGCTAATAGACGGTCTGCAAAGCAGCGGCAGAGTGGAATTGCCACCACGAAGAATGAGGAATCGAGTGAGTAAATCGAAATCGTGCTTCGGTTTGCGCATCGAAGGCCTGGTAATTGATAATGGTCTATTTGCTGTTTAGCCAAAAGTGGAAGTAAAATGTCACCAGAACAGGCATCAGCAGAGTCAATGTTTAATTTTTGTCGCGATAGAGCCAACTCTGAACTTCTGCGCCCTTGGGCGGTCACCTTGACTTCCAACGTCCCTTCATCAGACTGGTCTCTGGGTCAAAGCTCAGGAGGAACAATATCCAACTTAGTTCGACAGGTCAGCAACGGGTCAATTGATCTTTGTCTTCAAAGTGTGGATCTTCTCTCGTCGAATTCAACGGCTTCCGAGCTCCTCAGTGATAAAGGAAGCCAGTCAGAAAATTAGTTGTCAATTTTCCTTTAGATAAACACTTAAATCCATTTTTGTCATTACTGTTTGCCTGCATACTACTTCGTCACATTATTTATTTTCGTAAATAAAGGCTCGACTCTAAAGTATATCTTTAGCCTGCATGAGATTTGTAATACAATGGTTGTTTGTCTCTCGGCATTGGCGAGGGGGCACTTTTGACTTGGCCTCGGTACCACGTCGGGTGGGCTGGCCTTCGGGCCATGCCAGTAGCCCAAATACCTTCTCTGTGCTGAATGTACATATTTTGCCCGAGTACTATATCTTTTTTTATCTTCAGAGAAGTTTCGAGACGCTAAAATTGACCAACCCCCAGGTTGTTAAATGATTACGTGGATATGCGATGGTGCAGTTAAGAATACGTCTGATTTTTAATCTAAAATAAAATAAAAATTTAAACCCCGTCGTGAGTAAACGGAGAGGAAAGAAGCTACTTCAGACAACTTCATACAAGTTCTGGGAAATTTTCAAAGTTATTAACAAATTGAGAGGAAGTAGGGGAGGATAGTTAAAAATGATCAAATAATTTACAAACAATCTCTTTCGTTTTATTAAGATACATAAATTTAATGTAATGGCGAAAATCGACCTACTGAGTTTGTGAAGGCCAAATTAGCATGGGTATTTGGCATATGTCGGTTTCACACTAAACAGACATACAAGGTTCCGATTATTTTTAGTCTCTTAAATAATTTGTTAGGTTGTTTTAAGGGCTACTTACGAACCTATAATTTTCAATAAGCTTGGTTGGCTAATCGTGTTTAAATGAGTTAAAGGGATTTTCATGGAAGGACCGTTTGAAACGGCAGTAGTGCTCCAGAATGGCCGGGTCTGGTGATGTGTACGAGTACGTTGATATTTACTCCCAACTAACCTTCACAGAAGCCCTCTCAATACTCGCTATGCAAGCCCCGAGATGCAGTACAATTTTAGCCCTAGGAGGAAGGTGGTATTATGGCGCCAACTATGGTTGTGGCTCGCAGAATCGCAACAGAAACTGGGTCTAAAAATAACTGGTGCATTTGAATATTGTTCTCTTTCCTTTGTAGAGTGATAACCTTCCGCCTTGTCGCTTGTCTTAGACGCCAGTGATCAGCTCCCATTTCGTGAAAAATTGCTTTAAATCGAGTTAGGTTCATTTAAGAGTAAATCTGTATTTTGCTGTTAATATTCACCTTCTTCACAAGTTTTGCCAGGGACGTAAAATGATTTCTATGGCTTTTGTTTCCCAGGAATAGCAACAAACAAACCAGATATAGATGACTCTAAATTGTTTAATTCGTTAGATGGACAATTGGAGGAAATGCGTCACAATCTGGACCAAGTTGATTTTGAACAGGCAGCGAAAGAAGAAGCTCAGAGGCGCCATGATGTGATGGCACATGTTTATGTTTTTGCGAAGGCCTGTCCTAAGGCATCTCCCATAATTCACCTTGGTAAGTCCTTCCCTAGAATTTTCACTCATTTATGCACAGTTTGTTTAGCCTTAGGTCACATTCGTTGTTTTGGGTGTCTATTCAGGCCATTTTTGGCAATATCAAATGTCGCACTAATCCTGTGCGTGTTGCTAAGATTGGGGTATGTAATCTGGTACTCTCATGACTGCATTTGCCATGACGGTGGTTACCCGTGTCACTGGCACGTGTTGGAGTGTTTCGAATTTCACCAATACCACAGAAATTGTGTGTGGGTGCCTGGTTCGTGATCATTCACGGCTTAACTTAGTTATCTACAATTTGTACCATACTAAATCGGTTGTGAAACCGTATTTTGCCTTGCAAATAATCGTGTTCGCCGTTACCGCAAAAAGTTTAATCTCTTGTGCAATTTCATGACAGGTTGGTCATGCGTCAACCAGGCATCCGTTCTGATGCAAGGTTTTCACCCTACCCTTACCCCTTTTGGATAGTTCCAGCGTGTGTCCCTGTCTCCTGTTGCTGCTTCTACTTAATAGTTAAATGAAGGAAAGAGATGAGTTACCACATTTCCTTTTTTCCGTCTCCCCCAAGGTGCGACCTCTTGCTACGTGGTCGATAATGCTGACCTAATAATTCTGCGTCACGCCTTCACTCTCCTGGCTCCCCGGGTCGCCCGCTGCGTTGCACGATTGGCTGAGCTGGCGCGTCGACACCGTGACGTCGTCTGTCTCGGTCGTACCCACCTCCAGCCTGCCCAACCCACCACAGTTGGCCGGCGCATGTGCCTGTGGATGCAGGATCTGCTGCTCGACCTAGAGAGCATTGAACGCGCTAGAGATCATCTCATTCGATTTCGGGGCACCAAGGGCGCCATTGGGACTCAAGCCTCTTTTCTGGACCTCTTTGAAGGAGATGATGCCAAGGTGGGTCTCTCTTGTTTTGTCCAATATCTCTTAAAACGTTCTCTACCAGTATTATGTATATATGACGTCCGGCTCTAAGCCCGCATGATATGATAACTGGTTATACCGAATCGTGTTTTGAATGGACTTATTGTGTTTAAAATAGGTTATGCGGCCCTATTTATCATAATTGGGTCGTCACATGTGTGACGCGAGTATTGAACGTTTTGTCAAAAGCATCCCAGTTTCCAGGTCGTTGCATTGTAAGCGCACCCAGAAGAATTTAAGACTGATGGTGTAGGCGTAGTATAATACATATAACTTAATCGGTGCGAATCAACCGACCGACTAATCATTTCTAGTTCTTACAGGTTATGAAATTGGATGAATTAGTGGCGAAGAGGGCGGGTTTTTCGCGGGTCTGGTCGGTTACGGGGCAGACGTATCCGCGAAAGTTGGACGCTGATTTAGTGAGCATCCTCTCCAGCCTTGGTGCCACCGTACATAAAATCTGCACGGACATTCGTCTGCTGGCCAGCTTCAAGGAGGTTGAGGAGCCTTTTGAGTCCAATCAGGTGTGTGTGCCCTTCTCTCAAAAGAGCTTTCGTTTTAAGTTTTGTGATTTCTACCTATCTTCCTTCGGATGCTAAGAACCACCTCGTTGGTGTTTCGAACCTCCTGCGCTGCATAATTCCATCCTTAATTTCTTAGCAACATTTTAGCTTTACTTTCGTCCTCTTTGTGATGTACCAGTTAGGACATGGGTAGATCCAGCATGCTCCGTTTTTCTGGTCTCTTCAACTGGTGTTCTTTTTTGTGAAACGGTTCAATGGTCTTGGCTGCTGCAGACTGGACATCCAAAGCGCTTTGCATTTATCAATGGTAAATGACTCTACAAGACGGAACTTCGTCTTCATGAGGCAATGGATATGTGCTCCCAGCAGACACACTCCACCCCAAGTCCTCAACTTTTAGAGTAACGCTGTGTCTTCTTCTCTAGTGTAACTTAGAAGATCCGATTTTTTCTCCCTTGCTGTGGGCCAGCCAGTCATTATGGGTAGTAAAAGGACACAATAGGAACTTACTGATGGGCGTAGTACCGCCTTGGGAGCTTGCTTTTCATGCTCTTCGTGAAACTAAAGATTACGGTTTCACTTGACTAATCCCGTTTTTAGTAAGAAGGTCTGACGATTGAATGAGTAGCAGGATAGCACAGACAGGGGATTCAACAAAAGCTGTCCTTTTATGCAGGCTTTGGGTCTTCTCTCACTCTCAGATTGGTTCGTCGGCGATGCCGTATAAGCGTAACCCCATTCGCTGCGAGCGGGCGTGCGCTCTTGCGCGATTGTTGATGTCACATAGCGCGGCGGCGTTGGCGACGGCGGGGGTTCAGTGGCTGGAGCGCTCCCTTGATGATTCCGCATTGCGACGTGTCCTCCTTCCCGAGGCCTGCCTGGCTGCGGATGCATGTCTCATCATTATTCAGAATGTCTTTGAGGGCCTGGTTGTCTATCCCAAGGTGCGTGCCTTCACTTCATCTGCTATCTTTCCATTTATGAGTCATTTGACCAGCTAGTCGGTCATTCAACTATCTACTTATTTACCAACTACTCTATCTCGAATCCATCCATGTATCCGTTCACTTTTTCTGATTTATCCATTCCCCTTTGGGTTATTGGTGGCAGGTGATCGAGCGCAACCTGATGTCAGAGCTGCCCTTCTTGGCAACAGAACGTATTCTCATGTGGATGGTGATGCATGCTGGGGCAGACCGACAGGAGTGTCACGAGCGCATCCGCGCTCACAGTCAGGCCGCTGGCGATATGATGAAGTTAGAGGGACGCTGCAACGATCTCGTTGCGCGTCTCAGTGGCGATGCCTACTTCGCGCCTATCGCCAAACACCTAGATCAGCTCCTTGATTCTCGTGCTTTCATTGGACGCGCGCCTGACCAGGTTATAATCTGTTCATCTCTTGATCCCTTATACTTTCTTTCACGCCGGAAAGAAGTCTAATTCAAGTTTCTATTTAAGCTTATCTGTCTGTTTGCTTGCCTCCTGACTTGTCTATCCGAGGTATGCCTCCGTCTCAGGCAGTTTTATTTGGGCCTTCTAGGTTGATGACTTCTTTGTTAAAGAGGTCGCTCCTGTGCTGGAACGTTACTCCGAAGAGTTGGGAGGTTTTTCTACTCTAACAGTATAGTTACACCAATAATCTATTCATGATGCCAATTTCAGGAACTGGGGCTCTGATCATTTACCCATTTTTTCCTTCTATGTTGATGCCTTTTTGTAGATAAATAAAGATTCCGATTTAGTTTCGTTGCCATCAATTCTTGAGTATTAAAAATTAAAGTGCTCTGGGGAGGCGGCTATATCCTGTAGTTCCGTAACCTATTTGCAATGTATCATCTGTATGGAGCGTCATGGGCGTTTACAGGTGGCACGGCGATTGATTGGTAAATACTTCACTTCATCAATCTTGTCGAAGTTTGAGCTAATCATCTGAAATGTCGCATATTGGTTTGGAGCATCAGGGAATTCGCAATAATCGACGGTAAAAGTGCGGTGCTTGGGTAGTACTTTAGTTTTGACTTTGACTACGTGGAATCCTCAGCCCTCCGGTTATTCTGTGTGTCAAGTGCGTTCTTTTATACTACTTTGGCTCCAGGAAAGGTTAGGGGGTGCTGCATTAGTAGTGGCGGCAAGTGGCCCCTACCCGAAAGGTTATTTACTCTGGCTTCTGTGATTACTAAATCTACACGTTGTAGAAGGTTGGGACCTCCTACAGATAAATGAATTTCCAAGGACTCCTAACAGAAGGTTTAAAGTGGTTTATAGTTTGGGCAATCAGCCCAATTTCGTGTTCTACAGGAATGCGATTGGCAACTGAAGCGCCACCATGGGGGTGAGTTTGACACTTGTGATAGCGTTGCTAAGTGAACAAACAGAACTGTAAAAGATTCGGTGCTTATCCTTTCCTTCTTGGATTTCAACCCCTGGGAATGAACAGACTGACCACGAGAGGGTATTTTTATTAGTAATATTTAGAGGGAAGGGGGAGTAGAGGTCAGGGGGATATACTCTCGGAGCATTCTTCTGCTTGGGGGTTTTTTGAAGACTCCTCCGTTAGGAAAATCGTGTTCACTGAATGCCTCTCACCAAGAGATACATTCAAACAAATATGGATTACGGTGTCTGCTCCATGTCCTACGAGGTAAATGGAACTCCGATAGATGGTTGGGCAAGGAGGAATAGATGCGAAACATCGCCCCTGTAAAGCCGTTTTAAATTTTCTATTTTGTTAAGTAGCCTAGCTTTTGGTTGAAAATTCGTACGAATAGCAATTGGGACATGAAATACACTCGTGAGCCATCGTCCGACCTTGAGTGGTAAGAGGTCAGTGCAGTAAATTCCCACTCCCTCAGTGCAGACACAATGGGGTAGGCGGGTGCCACCACTGACGTTGGCATAAAAGAGAATTTAATGACTAAATTTCCTGGCTCGTGGGTGGTTCTTGAAGCGCTGACTGCACTGTGATGATTGAAGCAGAGGGGTTAACAGTGGGTGCACACAGAGGAAGATAAGCGAGAGAGGAAGGCCGTGTAGTGATTTTATATTTCGCTCAGATGTTTAATTAAGCAAACTTATCATCCTTCTCAGGTTATACTTTGGCTTGCTAGTGCGGCCCTCTATTCGTGCTTGTAGCCTTTCGAACATCCCATACGTTGGTAATGTATATTTCGCCCTACTATTTTGCTTTATCACGGATTTAGAAAAAGATCGGGGCTGTGCAATATTCCCACAGTTTTCTCAAAAATGGAACACTAGTAGATGCAAGATTAAAGGCTTATAAATGACAAGAGCGGCTTACAAATTGAAAATTATATATCGACCTGCAGTAGGGGCAGGATTGATCCAACATCTCACTTTTAAAAATATAATTCTCAAACCATGTCTAAAGGTTGGTGAAGGAGGCTGGAAGGCAAACAGAGGGCTGCATGATCAATTATCAAGCATAAATAATAGAAAGATATATGTAGCGTCCTGAGACCCCCTGAAGACGAAAGAAAACAAAATACTCGGGCAGAATATATATTCAGCGCAGAGAAGGTGTCTGAGCTATTGGCATAACCCAAAAGACCAGCCCACCCAGCGAGGTACAAGGAGGCTGATTCAAAGTACAAAAGTGGCGCCTCCCCAGTACTAAGGGATGAACCACAATCTTATTACATATATATATTAACTAATGCTTAAAACAGCCAAAAAACACCGGCAATCATGTAGCACTTCGAATCAGGTGATTTTGACTTTAACTAATCTATAAATTTTATTATCATCCCAGATCTACGAAGGCCATGTTTTGGTAAAGTAGAGCAAATTCCGTTACCATGTCATTCAACAATTAAGTGCAACATAAAAATGTTTTAGGTTAAGAAACCTTTCAAGTCGTGCCTTATTTTAAAAGACACATATGCAGTACTTATGTCGTTTGAATGTTCCTTTGAGGGAGGAGGCGGGGATGCGAATCGTACCTCGTAACTGAGGCGGCAACGTCCCACACACCGGGGAGCGGTTACATGTCCACCCCCCCCAAACTCTGTACTGGTTTCCCCCATTTACCTACTCTAATAAACATGCCAAAGTCAAATCAACCTGGGTGTTCTAAGAATGTGAGAACCGAGGAAGGGAAGACCTGCGAGCTTTGTTCTACACATTACGAGATCAGAGGAGAATAATTAATTTACATGCATTTCCAGGACTCAAAGCTTCTTTAATATTAGATGGCTTTAAATAACGAGAAATTAATAGAACTTAACCTTAACATGATTCCAAATGATACTACCATCATTGATATTGGAGTATGGTTTTTAAATTTTGTTTTGCCGAACCACATCATTAACCTGTAAAACTCGCAACCATTTGATTTCCAGTTCGTGTTTCTCGGCCCAGTCTTGGGCGTTATGGTTTTAAGGGTCAGTGCGCAGGTTTCTACCTTATTTTTGGGCCTTTTGTTTATCGCCTCCGGCTCCGTAAAAACCATAAAATTCAACTCATTGCTGTATCATGAACTGGTATCCATGCCATATTTATTTATTGCTTTAAGCTGAAAGCATTTAAGAATTTCTCAGATGTATCCCCTATACGTTTGTTTGGCTTGAAAACAAGTCCGCAGATTTATATGCAAACATCTGGAGTACTGGAACTCATTTGTGGGACTGCGCTTGCGACCGGGACCTTACGTTCACAGAATGCTGCTTGTATCGGATTAATGTGCATGATGTTTCTCACATCTTATTGCCATCTGGTTCTTGGTGACATTAGCAGTGTAAGTCCCTGTTTTATTGTTTGTTATCATCCCTAAAGGCCGCTGTTCCTATAGGGTATTTGGCTCTTATCTACTGGTTACGGGCGTCAATAAAAAGTGCTCAAACTGAGGCACATACATCCTGACCTCACGTTTTACCTTCTTTCCTCTGACTTATCCCATCCTTTTTTGGTAAGGTCTTTTTTGGCCTACTTCTTTTGTTCGGGCATTTATTTCTCTCGCCAGTCGATCATGTACATTTAATGCTAAATTACACAAACGTGGCGACTTACGTGTTTGATTCTTTTGAAACTCGCGAACAAGGATAGTTTAATTGCTCATGAGTTTGGTTGGATAGTGACGCCACATCTATTTATAAACCTTAAGCTTATGCAATTGTCAATTACGCATGTTATTATTCTGGTTATGTGAGCATAAACAATTTTATTGGTTGGTAAACAATACGGTCATATTTCGTCTTGGACCAGTGTTTCTCTTATTTTCTTTGTATCGGTCACAAATTATTAAACCCCCAAATTGTTGCAATGAAATACACCTACTCCATATGCCTCAACCGGCTTTGCAGTTCTTTACTCCTGCGTTTATTTATTCGGGGATTACGAAAACCGCTTCCACCTTTAGATTGCTCTACAACATTTACTCTTTACTCTGGCTTGTGTCAAATTTAAATGCCTGAAACATGATAATGAGTGCACGCTGCACGTCCACTCCATGATCAGAGAAATATCACTTTTGTAGTTGGGATTCCCTTGTACTTCCACATACTTATCCAAATAATGCTGCCTAACTGACTAGAACGCTAGATGTGGGACTATGCCTGACGCAGGAGGCGGCGGTATAACCTATGGGGCTAGTCTCTCTGACCTTATGTGCACCATTAGTAGAGCAAACCCGGTAATTGGAGGCTTGATAGAGTAATCGGGAAAAGTCCGGAGTTTAAGTAATGGCAAGAAGATTGAAGATATCCTGAGCATTCTACTGGGTGATCAGAAAACTGCTCTCTTTGGCCTAGCTTGCTGCAGTGAACTATTATATCTTGTGTGAGTCCGTAAAATGCTATTCCTTGCGTACGCAATGAAGCGTAAATAGGTGCAAGTGCTCTTTATTGTGTTTCTTATTGTTTTCATGTAGTTTCTAACTTTTATCATTAAATGCGCCTTCAACGAAGTTAAACTCAGTTCCCAACCTGCATAAGACGGGCTGGTAGCATTTAAAGTGGTGACCGTGTGGGAATGTGGGATCAAACCCTCACTAGCTTTGTTCAAATGAGTTTTATGATTCGACAGATGCTCCTACGAATCCCTCGAATGCACCTTCCAGCAGAAGACCTGACAGTTGAATCTAACCAAAATCTGTGGGATGCAGCGATATCGTTGGATTGTATCACTACTGACAATAAATCAGCAGGCTACAAGTAGACATCACTTGAACGGCGGTTATCGAAGTATCAAGAATGGTTCCACAAAATAATAGATTCGCATAGACTCATCAAAATTGATCTCTTCTCTTATAATCGCGTCATTTCTGCGTGCAATATGCATTCGTTTGCAGAGAAGTGTCCACCATGTGTTGATATGAAGGAGAGGTTATAGGAACATCAAATTGCGTTCTTGTGACCCAAGAGAATTATGCTTGAGACTTTATCACACCAGTTGTTCAAGACTTGCTTTATTTATGAGAACGATTCATCGGAGAGACGTCCTGAATCCTGCTTCCAAGGTAAAAGAAGGTTACTTGGGGGGGATTAGATTTAGTTCCTTACTGATCAACTCCCGCAACTTCTTGACCTCGCCATGGATATTGTAACCGCATCAAATTTCAAGCTTTCTGCCGGACATTACAAGCGGTCACCATTACGACGTTGGTAATGGCGCTGAGGCAGCAGCCGTGTAGGCGGAACCTCATGACGCGTAACTTAGTCACACACACGTACATAAGGCGTGACTGTGCCCTGACGCTATGTGCGCGTGCGTAGGTGTAGGCATGGTGAAACCACCAGACAGCCAATAACAGTTGTGCCAGTCGCACGCACCAATCAGCAGTTGCCTTACGTGCGCATGTGATGGCAATGGGCGCACATCGCACACACGCACGAGTCGCCAATCTTCGTTTTCGCAATCGCGTAGCTGCGGTCCGGTTTGGTGTGTTCGTGTGTTTTGCTAATTTCGTGCTGCTGCGATCGTCTTTTGCATACGTGTGTGTGTTAATTCACACCGCCGAATTTCCAAGTTCTGCAAGGATTGGTGATGACCAACTTTATGACTCGCTACCCTTCTCAAGATCAATCACCCTACGAAGGTCTTAGTGCTGTGAATGGCCTTGTCGTCGACGGTGCTTATCTGGACGGGTCTTGGGAATTATGCGTCCATGTGGAGGACTTAAACGATGTGGTCTGTGTCCGAGTTCGTGGGGACACCAGTGTCGGAGGCTTAATGCATCATATTGTCGAGGCGGTGAATGTTAAACAGTCTTGGTCAGACCATGCTATCTGGTGGCCGCAACGAAATGTGTGGCTGCTCCATACCCGCACTTCTTTGGATCAATACGGTGTTCAATCTGATGCCCAACTAGTTTTTCGTCACACTCACGGTAATCTTCAGGTCGTTCTACCCTCTCTAGCTACTCTTACGTTGCGTGTCAATTTCGCTAGTCGTGTTTTTTCAGTCGTCGAAGGGATTTGCAAAGAGCTCTGTATTCGTCACCCTGAAGAACTCTCGTTAATGTGCCCTGTCACCCGAGATACCATTAAGCGCAATCAACCCCTCCCCGTTATCCGACATGGTGTCAAAAGAACCGGGCCGCTAAATCCTATCGGTTTAGTTAGGTCAGAAGTGCCTGTAGCTGCTAGCAATGGTGTAAAGAAGATGGGTTCTCTGAACCCCTTGAATGACTCTAATCCCTACCCTACACTGCCCTACGGCTCGGCCACATTGATGCGTGGTCAATCTGACAATTCTCTGTACGAGGAACGCACCGAAATCAGTAAATTCCTAGATTGTAGTCAGCGGAAGAGTGCAAAAGTCGCTTTCGGTGAGGAGTGGTTACTCAAGCCCAAGAATGTCCAACAGAAAGCTCGGATGGATGGCAGATGGTTAGATTCATCACGATCCCTGATGGAACACGGTATTGAACCTCCTACTCTTCCTCTAGGTGAGCATTCCATATCCCAACCCAAACCGCCTATTCTCTACCTTCGTTTCAAATTCTATAACTTCTATGACATTAATACAAACTACGACGCAGTTCGTATTCATCAAATCTATGAGCAAGCACGATGGTCACTGTTATCTGGGAATTTGGAGTGTACCGAGGACGAGATGATTGTTTTTGCGGCTTACCAGCTCCAAGCAGAATTACAAAACGAATCAGCTTTGCGGACAAATGCAGCTTTATACTCCGGTGGTGCCGGCGGTGGAACACTAGCTAGATGCAACACCTTGGGGGGATATAACACCCCCGCTTCACAAATTGATCCAGGCCTCCGTCCAATGAGTCCAGACTTCTCAACACCGCGTTCTTTCGGGGGGTCTCTTTCACGCATGCCAAGCCTTGGAACTGTTGCTCCACCATCAGGCCATTCGCGGAGTCCATTCATTGGATCAAACAGTCATCTGGCACTCAACGATGACGCGTCGAACGAAATGGATGAGATTGACGTTATGCTGACGGAGTTGGAACAATCCTGCAACGTCTTCCATCAACCACGAAAGTCTAGCACAACTTGTCATGATGTTGTGGACTCTAGCACTGCTCCGATCCTTCAGGATTCGATAAAAGTTTTTCGTGATAAGGGTCTCCTTCCCCATCGATCCAAGGAGATGTGGGGCGTTGTGAAGGGTGTCAGTCTGGTGCTTTACCGTGATCCACATAACATCGATTCTCCTTCTGCCTCATACACTCTTCGTGACTGTCTCATAACCCCCGATCTGAGCCCTGAAAATTCTCGTTTCGCCGTTAAGCTATCTCTCATTGTCACTCCCCCCTCTTCTTCCTCCACAGCAATTAGTAGACGTTGCAGTCGTACTCGCGAGGAGGTCTGGTTGCGTTTTAATTCCATGGAACAGTACGCTAGGTGGGTTGCTGCTTTTCGTCTAGCTGGGCGTGGAAAGAGCCTTGAAAGTCGAGCTGCGTTGGATAATGAGTTTCGATTGGTTCGTGAGACGCTAGAAAAACAGTCCACCACCCATGCCACTCCTGTTCTCTCTCTTGAGGAACTAACTACCCACCTTGGAGATTTGTCTGACTTCTGTACGGAGAGAATCATCAAAAGGGCTCGCAGCAGAGAGGCTTTGCGACAGAGGATCAGCGAAACCCACGCAGGATTTCGGGATCTCTCGCTACAGGACGCCAAACTGCGTTACATTGAAGAGTGGCAACGTCTGAATCACTTTGGTCGCTCTTACTTTATTGTGCAATTCGATAAGGGTAATCCTTTCGGTCTGGGTAGTCCTAGCGGTGGAATATTCTCTAGTCCAGGTCCACAGGAAGGTGTGATAGCTATCCGACAGTTTCGAATCGAAGTAGTTTCTTCGTCTACCGAAGAAACTCAATTGGCGTGGAATTTTGCCGATCTACGCAGCTGGAATGTGAATTGGGATAATGGTCGAGTGATTCTCGAATTCCGCAATGGAAAAGTGTCATTCAAGCCCCTGTCAGCCAACTGCAAGAACGTAGTGGAATTTATTGGAGGCTATGTTTTTTTGAGTCAACGCAATCTCGAAAAAAACCAAAAACTTGATGAGAGACTCTTTCATAAACTCACGGGAGCGAGTGATTGATGTGGCTTTGACTTTCTGATTGCTTTTGGCGCCATTATCTCCAATTTTGTACAAATTCAAACCCCCTTTTACTCATTCACTTTCGGTCATGAGAAATCTATTTTTCCTAAGGTCATTTAACTCTGTAATTACCTAATCCACACAAATGAGTGCCTTTTGAACATCTTCCTCTCTAGTTTATCTTTTTTTCTCTCTTCTATATTTGTCGTCTTTTTCCCCATATCGACTCATATGGGGGATAAAGTCGAGGTTCTTGAATTTAGAGGTTATTATCTTTGGTTTGGGCGCTAGCATCAAGCAGTCCGAATTCTTGTCCAGTAAGAATAGGGAGTCTTGAGCTGGGTTCAAATCAAACCGGGACTTGTAGGGAAGGTAGGTGTGCTTCGTTGCTGTCACGAACTAGTTGAGATGTTAATTTGGGAGGTAGGCGGTGGTGGTGAGTGCGTGCATATGATAACGTATGGTGGTCGTGGGCCTACGGATGAATGTCTACTCGTGTCTACGGGAAACTTGAGACGGGATGCAATGTGACATTTAATCGTTGTAGGCGTATTCCCGCCGGTGACGATTCAGGGTGTGCTGGTTCCTGACTCACCACTGCAGTTTCTCCTGTGAGCAAACGTTCAGTTTGCGAAATGGGGAAGTTGAACTGAATCACGGGCCGAGTTCCAGAACAGGCGGACTCTCGCAGAATGGTTCGGCCGCACCAACAAATCCGTTCATGCTAATGCGGCAGTTTGTCCTTCCTGAAATAAACGCTTTTAGTGCCTCTCCTAGATTTTATGGCATCCTACCATAAAGGAAGGGAGGAAAAAGCATCAAAAATCGGGCGGCTGACTGGAGCTGACTCATACTTGCGTGCATCAGCAAAGGTCTTCATGATTCGTTCTTCCAAATTTTTAGGATTGGTGGGCAACGAAAAGTGGACATCACAAAGCCACTGTTGTCCAGTCTGTTAGCCCGGTAATGTTGTGAATCGCCATGCCAACAGGGCAACCAGGCCACTTGTTGGTCGGTCTGTAGTTTCAGGGACGTCACGTGATTGCAAATACTGACATAATGGTAGACATAGCTTGAACGACTACCTTCTTGTTCTTTATCTTCTCGTCCGCATTGTTACTTCTGGTGATAATTTTTCTGCAGGTAATCAAAGTCAGTCACCCCTATCACAGAGAAATCGCTACTGAATTCAGTAGTATGGGTGAAGCTCATTAATCTCTAGAAAATGTTCCAAAGCGAGGTCGTTTCGTGTGCCATTCCTATTGCGTAGACGTCAGCATAATTAATAAGGACACGGAACTCCAAAAAATCTTTGTAATTAGACTTCCCCTTTGTTCTTAAATGGCGTTTTAGCTATTTCCACCCATCTACCGCTGATGCTATCAGAGGCTTGTGGCATAACAGTTGGAAGGTCTTTAAAATTCAAACACTGGTCACGGTTCTTCCTGACGTCGGAATGAGGTGTACCAGCCCATTGTTAACGCTTTGCTGTGGACTTTACATTATCATTCATCCATCGTAGGTGCCCTTCATCAATGCCAGCCTATCTGCCCTCTTCAAAGCATCAGCGAAAGTTCAGGACCCAGGATACCTCCAAAGATGTTTCGAATTATAATGGTCCAAAAGCAGATTTATCATGTTGTGAGGGCCTAGCCACCTGAATTTTGTAATTGGCTATCCAATGACGTACACACACACTAGAAACAAAGCCTTTGTTACTGCTTGTTCGTGCCGGTGCGGCTTTCAAGTTGGCTGACAGTCAGTATAGGATTTGTACAACATTCTATTGGTGTGCTCAGTTGTTCAGATACTTGAAAAACTTGGAAAATCTTTGAGGTCACAATAAGATCAGTCGGTCGCCATTCATTCGGTTAACTGCTTAGCAGCTCGATATACTGCCAGTTTAAACAGTATACTTCTACTAGTGGAAAGTTTTTGTGGCTCATTGACAGTTGTCACTGATGCATGATATTTGGATAAGACACATTTGCTCTCCTAACTAGCTCTACATTCCCTTTTCATTCCACCCTGTGCAGGTGCGAACGGATTGCTTTCTTTTCATCCACATTCAACTGCTGTTCTTGACAGTATAGTCTCCAAAGCCTATGATCAGTGGTAATACGAAATTCCCGGGAAAGTGGGAGGCTTGGTGAAAGTAATACACGTGGACACAATTGTTGCAATTAATTTTTAGTGATAGGTCCTGTTACCACACCTCCACTAAGTGCAATACAGCAAATGGGAATAGAAGCATCCGCAACTTCAGAACCAGACTAGCCTTAGTTCAAAGAGCAAATGAGCTCTAACTACACCCACCTGCCTGCTTAAAAAGAAATAAGAATATTGGAGGGTACAATAAAGGGCAATGAGGTATTGACTCATTTTACCGATGGTTTATGACGCATACATAAGTAAACAAGGGCATTTTCCAGGTGCCTCTAGATTTACACAAAGTAATTGGGATTAGCTTTATCGAAAATTCCACGGAAATGTTCAATCTCTAGGACTCGTTACATTCCATGAGGAATAAATGAAAGTGATTGCCGCAAAATACCATCTACCTTTTTTAACTGGATCTCTCTCATGCATTTTGTAATTAAATGAGTTTATGAACACGATTTATGGTAGTTTATAAGATTATGCCAATTGTATAGTTCCAATTTTGACAAATCGTTTTTGAACTTTTATACAAAAAATCTTAATACTACCTTAAATCGGATATTACAAATAGCATTTATTTTAGCTTCTTCAGTTGTTACATTTTTGACTTTGAATACCGAATTACAACCTTGAGGTAGATTCAAAATTTACTTCCCTAGTATCTATTCTAATTACTGCCCTAGTTTAAATGAGGAAAATGTTTTAACAACCCTCCCCAATGAGTGTGTTAAAGTCGGAGAAAATCCTAGCCACTAAAAATGGGTTTTAGGGAGAAAAAGCTTGACTTCACAGTTAAGTGCAGATTTAGTTTTCACCACTTTAAGCGGACTAGCTACCTTGGACGAATTATTTAGCTGTAAATCATGAAAAGTTGGGTAAATAAGACGTGCCTTTAAACAATTGCGCTTCAAAGCAAGTCCAAAGTTTCCGCTTAGTGATAATTGGGTTTAATAAATGTTTTATTTCGGCTGGTAGCTGATTTTCACAATTCTACTATCGCCTAAGTAAAACCAATTAGATAAGATAGATTGAGCAGTAATCATGCGAACAGCTTTTGCTTTGAAATAATTCTCCAAATCTGAAACAAATTATAGTAATTTTGGAAGTGCATATCCATCTTTTGTATAAAGAAAGGGGGAAGCTACTGCGGCATTGATACTCGCGTTATGGCACCCCAGTCCAGACACCAGTAATTAAGCTGGCAGGCACTGTACGTGATGGGTGCGCGTATGGAAGGCGTAAAATCCGAACTTGACGGTCAAATCATATCTAAGGGAGACTTCAGGCACAGTACACTATAACGCACTTAGGGCCTCAGCAATGTGACATTTTAATGGTGTTAACTTCTCAAAGGTACGTCGGTAATAAGCCCGACCTTAGTGCTTCCCAGCCTGTATCACAGTCAGCACATGGAACCCCTGATCGGGGCTAAATCTGCTGCAACACAACTTTCCATAGCGACGGTGGGCATGCTCCTCCTTGAGCATGTGTCATTTCGGAAAGTCAGCTCACATGGCTCCCTCGGTAACCTGTAACGAATCAAACCAGCTTGTCATGGGATGGATTGCGCCTACTGACAAGCCTTTCTATGCTAAAACTGCTCTCCAGATTTTAGGTGAGGCAAGAGTGCAAATGCATTTGTAAATCGACTAAATTAAAACTCCTTTGGTTAAAAACTTTCCATTCAAAATTCACGCGTTTTAGTTGTTATCTACAGTTGAGTTTACGGAATTAGACCTCCCTAAAATGTGTGCATATGCTGATACACTGGTTTTGTTTAGTTGTTAGGAGTTTGTGTTAACTTCAAGCCTTGGTTGTAACAGCTTGGACACATGCCAGGCCACCAAGCTAACCGAAAATCCAATAGGAGGGTAAAAGTACCACAGTGCATTCACTTCACAATTGACATTAGCGTTCATTGTATTTGTGTAAACTGCAGTAAGAATCGCTTTGAAGTTAATGTGCTTGAAGTTCTGACCCACAACATATTGAACGCTGAAGGCCACACTTTTTTATAATCAGCACTTATGCAGGAGAGTCAACAGCTTTTTCTTCGGATTTTACAGTTATTTGCCAATATCCAGTGAAGGAAAGTAGATAAAGTTATAATTTATTAAAAAAAACCAATATTGGCAGTGGAATTCTAAGGGAATGGAAATGGATAATAAAAGAAGTAAATTTGATGGGTTTGCATAAAATTTTAAAGAGAAGAATGCCGATATGCTTAGAGAAAAGAAGAGCATTAACCAGCATTTATAACAGTTGAGTCAGGACCTGATCATTTACGTAGGCTATGTATTCATTACGAACACATAGAGACATCAATAACCCCAAATCCATGATGGGATATGCGAAGAAGACTAAAAAAGGTGACCGATTAAACATAGATGAGAGCGAATACTGAATCATTATATAGCCTCTTTCTTTCACAGAACGTCATCTCTGGTACATCTGAAGGGAGCTCGTCTGATCCAGTCACCATACATGAATTAGACTATAGCCGTGACTTTGAACCAAACATGGTATAAGACCATTGATGATATCATGAATGTGCATCATAAGAGTAATGCTACCAACTGGAGGCATTATGAGCAATGGGTCTAACTGCT